AAATAAGGAAATACCTCTCATTTGGATTCAAAGAAAAAATACAAAAAAATCAAAATCCAATTAAATCAAAAAGTGACTCCCTCAATTTTAGTACAAAAATAATTTTTCAATTGAAATTTATAAATTTGACATTGAAGTAAAGTGATTAATACCTCATAAAAAAATCCCATAAAATCAAATTAGACTATTATTTTCAAAATCGTAAGTTTTGAAAAATCTAATTTTTTTACACTCAGAAAATTTTAGACGATGTCCAATTTTTGACAGAAAACTTGGATCTCGACCAGAACCGTTATAGTGAGTGTAATTTATTTATATATTAAGAGAAATTACACAACAACGTATTTAAAAAAAAATTAATTACATATCAATTATAAATTTTATTAATATTAATAGTTAAAATTATAAATTTTATAATAAATTTGTAATTATTGATAAATTTTCTTTTATTCTATCAAGAAAAAGCGAAGAGCAGTGGGAGTTGAACGAATAAAGATGTTCGAAAGTGATTTTTCATAAAGTAATGTTAAATTATTTTTTAAATGATTAAAATTTAATTCTACAAAAGTTGAGGGTGTAATAATACTAAGGCCTCGTTTGGGAATAAGTTTTTTTTTAGTGATTTTTTAGTTTCATGGCTTAAAATATGAGATGAAAAGTTTTTTAACAAAAATTAATTTGTCAGATGCGAAAAAAATTGAGTGAATGGCAAGAAATTTTTAATTTTTGGATATTTGTTAATTTTTTAGTTTTTTTTGATAACTTTTAAACTAAAATAAAGAATTATCAGACATAACCTAAGTTAAAAGGTATAGTATTGAAAATTACTTTTAAAAACATTTCAATCATATTAAAAATCATTTTACGAAAAATCGGTCTAGAAGATTTAGGCCTATTTTGAGAAGCGTTTTTTTTTTACTTGTTAATTTTTTCAAAGAACGTGTAAAAAAAAAGATAATATGACTTAAAAAAATTAATAAATTAACTAATTGACTTTTTTCTTAATTGCCAGAATACACCCGAGAAAGAGGAGGAGGAAGAATCAGTCTAGAAGATTTAGAAAGAGGAAGAATCAATCAAGCTTTTCAAGGGTCAAGCAAAAGCAGACAGTCTCTTTGTGCAAAAGCAGTATTCTTTTCCTCTCTCTCTCTCTCTATATATATATATATGCTACTCTCTTTGTTTCCTCACGAAGTTTTCATATTCTATTAATAGGAAAATTGTACCATACATGAAAGTGATTTTATGTATGATACATAAAAAATATGGACAATTAGATTTAGACAAGATGAATATTAGCTAAATTACAATTTAATAAATAAAAAATATGGACAACTAGATTTAGACAAGATGAATGTTAGCTAAATTACAATTTGATATATAAAAAATATGGACAATTAGATTTAGACAAGTAGATAGTAAAACTAGGTAGAAAAGTAAGGTGTTTTTTTAAAAAGTAAAGTAGTTTTAGTTAATTTTGAAATAAAAAAAAATAATGATAAATTACAATTTGTTACAAATATACTTACTATTTGATATTTACTCACTTACTATTTATTATGAATGAACTTAATATTTAAAATATTACCTGCTAAGCAAGTCATCTTCATGTCTTGAAAATTGTGTTCTCTTTTGCATTTTAAATTAATTTTAAATACATAAAATTAATGACACACCATATTTAACTATTTTCCCTTCATATTTTGTTTATGATTTGTAAAAAGTAAAATATGATATGTAGATATTAATATATTAAATTTTCTTAAAATTTACTAAGTTTTTAAAATAGCCATTATTGTGAAAAATTAATTTTTGATATAATATTAAAAACAAATAAAAAAGAAAAAAATTGTAAACAAAATATTTTAAAATTGTAAGTTATTTAAATTTATTTTTAAAAACATTAAATTAATTAATTAATTTTTTTTCTTTTTTAACCTACAACACCTCAAAATAGTAATTACTATATAAGGACATGTTTGGTAACGTTTATATTTACAGTTTTCTATGTAAGTATAATTTCATTGACTGGTAACTTAAGTCTATTGAAATGGTGTCTTATTGATTGATAAGCCATGTTTAATTAAGTAGTAAGTATAGTTTGATTGAGTAGTAAGTAAAAACTCATTAAGAAATAATTAAAGTCTAATAGAGTATTATTAAGTAGTAAGTGGTGTTTAATTGAGTAGTAAGCAAAGTATAATAAAATTGTAAGTAGAGACTCATTGAATAGTAAGTAGAGTTTAATTAGTATTAAAAAATGCAATGCTTACCATTCGTTCTCATTCTACTTACAACTCTTGTAACTGAACTGACCACTTACCATTTTATCACTTAGTATTCTACTTACCATCTTTACTTGTTTTTTCCTAATTAATTTGCTTGTACTTATTCCAGATGGAAGACAACATTGAGCAAAATAAGAATAACATTATATATGAATTAGATGATAATGATGATACTAATGATGGTGAGTATAATGAAGATGATATCATCAATTATAATGAAGAGATGTTAAGCGTCTAGATGAAATAACTGAAAAAAATGTTTGAAATAACATTGATTCATATGAAAATAGATAAAGATTTTATAATTCGTATGCTAACGTGAAAGGCTTTAGTATTCGAAGGGATCAGTTATATAAAGGCAAGAGTAATATGGTCATATCTAGGAAGTGAGTTTGCTCAAAAGAATGACATAGACAATCCAAATACCTTGAGGTTGAAGAACGTGAAAGGGAACCAAAATAATTAACTGAAGTTGGTTGTCATGCTTCTTTCCGTATCAAATACAATCGGAATACTTTCAAATATGAAGTGAATGAAATTTTCAAACAGCATAATCATCCTATGATAGGGCCTCTTGGTGTTCAATTTCTTCGCTCACATAGAAATGTTACGAGTGCAGACAAGGCATAAGGCTATGCACTGTATCATATTGATATGAAGACAAGTCACATTATAGACTTTGATGCGCAACAAGCAGGTGGCTATGAGAATGTTGGGCTCATACAAAAGGACAAGTACAACCATTTTGGGACAGTGTATAGAGCGCAAGTCGTCAATGGTGATGCAAAAGGTGTTTTAGCTTACTTATGTGGTAAAGCAGAGCAGTATCCAATGTTTTATTATAAATATGATGTGGATGAAGAATGTAATGACCCAGAATGTTTTTTTTAAAATAGTCAGTGCATAATTTAATTGAGCAAATTTTCAGATTTGGACTGCTGTGTATATTCTGTATGAAAATAGTTCAGTTTTGCATTTTTTTAAAATAGTTCCCAGTCTCAGAAAATTATGAAATTTTTATATGTTGTTCTCATATGAGTCTAGAACGTTGGATAAAAATTTCAGAATTTAATGATAAGTATATATTTTATAAAAATTCATAAACTGATTGGTGTTCAGTTTAATTTATAGCAGAATTTTGTTATTTAATTTTGAATATTTAGATCATGATTTGGATAAATTTGTTGGGTCTTTTTTGGTATATAATTGGACCATATTGGACATATGGGTGAGACACATGATTTAGATTCAATTTAATTTGAGTTTGTTTAATGACTCACGTTTAATTGTTTGGTCCTTTTTAATTAGGTGATTAGTAGTAATTACTTTAAGAGCTGTTATTATTTATTTTATAGGATTATAATAAATATTTGAAAGTTGAATTTATGGTGTGTACCATATGGTGAAAAATTATATATTTTCTAAGGAATGAAATGTGTATATATAAATAATTAAAAAGGTTATAGTAATTTCGCCACCTTTCTTAACACTGTTAAATTTGTCAGTATTATATAAAATTCAATATATCTTATTAAAATTGTGAGATCGCTTATAATTTTTTGAAAATTCGGGCCAAATGTCTAATTTTGATACTTTTGGGGCAATAGCGCAAACTCAGTTTAACTAAGGCTACAAGCACAAAACTAAATTGAAATATTATATTATGCTTATTTATTTGTTTATTTATCCACCTATCTATTCACGTGTAACTTATATGTCTATCGTTCTTGCCACTAATGGCAACTTTTTCGACGTCGAATAGTTCTTCAACAATCGACGATGATGGTTAAGGCCTTGTTTGGCATATAATCAAAAATTCACTATAAGTTATCATATTTCTTTATTTTTTTTCTACATATCTTTTCATACAAAGTCAAAAAATTAACTAAAATAACCACTTACAAACAAAAAAGTACAAGAATAAAACTGTCCCAAGTGTTATTTTTATCCAATAAATACAAAAGACTTGTCATTTTGTCTCAAAATATCCGACATTGTTAATACTCCGTGCTCCATTATTCATTAGATTTATGTGTAAACTAATTGAACTCTGGTTAAAAATAAATTAAATTACACTATTAGTCCTAATAGTCTAAGCAAAATGTCACTTTAAGCCATATAATTTTAAACTAAACAATTTACATCCGACATTTTCATTTTATTTACAATATAATTTCTCTATTATGTACCATTAACATTTTAAACAAAAACTTATACGCCATTCAAAATAAATCAAGTATTACACTTCTCATATTTTATTTTCAAGTTTTGTTTTTTTTGCACATGATATTTTTCACTTAAATTTTTAACGCAAGTGATGAAGACCAAAATGAGTTTTCTTTGAAATTAGAGGAACCAGCATAAAATAAAATTAGATAAATTACACTTTATCCGTTTATATTTGGTCATTTTTTATTTTAGTTCTTCAAGTTTCAAATTTTTTTTAATTTACTCCACAAACTAACATGTATTAAAAATTAAATATAAAATAATATATTAACAGTCACGTAATATAATTTTTTTTATTATATACAATTCACACGTTTAACACAAATCTAACTTCTAAAATAATAATATACTTTTTTTTAATATTATATGAGAGGTGATATTTTCTGTTTAATTTTAAATAAAGTAAATTTAAAAAAAAATATTTAAAAAAAAAAAACTTAAATGACCCAAAAAAACAATTACCATGGTAAAACTACACCCCACAAAGGTGCAGTGAGTGAGAAATAGATCGATCATTTCTTCATATAGCTTTTCATTCTTGTTCAGATCCACAGACCCAAGTCGCTTCTAATTGGGGTTTTTCTTCTTCGCCTGATTCGATATCTCCCTCATTCACAGTTCACTGAGATTTAGCTTTATAAAAAAGAGAAGAAGTTATATTCAATTCAATTCAATTCTCCAACTTCCTCGAGTACACTCATTAGATGAGGCTCTTACAGTTGGCTTTCATAGTCTCTTTAACCTCTGGATTTGCAGCGATTCTCATATACATCACTGGTGTTTCTAAACTCTGTGAGTCTATATATATGTGTGTGTGTGTATTCCAAATTCTTTTTGCACAAATTCATATATTGTTTCGTTTATGTTTGATTTGATTTGATGATTTGGTGTACAGATGGAACACGCCAGCTTTCCGATGAAGATATCGAAGCATTGCAATCTCTGCAGGGTAGTTTTCAGAAGTGTGTGGTGAGTTTTCATGTTCGAAAATTGTGTTCTTTGCTCTGCTTTATTAACCTTGGAATGTTTCAATTTGTTAAACCATGCTCTAGAGCATTACTTTAAATTTAATTGCAAGTGCATATTATGTTTTTCACATGATGTGAGCTAAGTGTGATCAGCCATAGGAAGTGTTGAATGAATTAATTGAGTTTAAAATTCCATTTTTAAATCCTTGATGCTTTGTTTTGTTGTTAGGAATATAGAAAAAAAGACAAAAGGTTAATGCTCATAAATTTGGTGAGAGAAAAGAAAAAGAAAATGGAGTGGAAATCAATGCTCCTTGTTTGGTTACTATAGAAAACAATCAGCAAAGGAAAATATGTAAGCAAAAAAAAAGAAGAAAAAAGAGTGTAGATATTATTTCTCTCTGTTTGTCTCTCTCTCTCTCTAAGACTCTTTGTCTCTCTCTCTCTTTGTCTCTCTTGTTTGGTTGGAGGATTTGACGAGAGAAATGGAAACGAAAATAGAAATGTAATCCCACTTTTTGTTTGGTTATAATGGAAAACATAGGGGAAAAGAAAGTGAGAGGGAAATACAATCTCACTTTTTATTTTTGTGGGTTCACTTGCGCTGTGTTTGGTTGGAGGATTTGGAGAGGGGTTTGGAAAGGAAAAGGAAAAAGGTGTGTGAAAGTAGGTATATTTTATTCACATTTTACCTACTTTTTTCATTTTTCTTTCCAAATCCTTCCTCAAATCCCTCAATCAAACACAGCATTAGAATCTTTTCTTTCTCCATTTCCCAACTCAACTAAACATGGCTTGGAATTTGAATCCTATCAATTCTTTTTATTTCCCTTTCCCTTTCCCTTTCCATTTCTCTCATCAAATCCTCCAACCAAACACATCCTAAATGATTTCTTATCATATCAGAAAAAAATTCAATATAATGCTTTTTAAAGTAGGAGGGAAAACATGAAGGAAAACTGGCTTCGCGTTCACTTTTCTTTCCTTTTACTTTTCCCTTACCAATTCCAAGTTGCAAACAAAGCCTACGGCTGTATTTGGTTGAAGGATTTGATGAGGGAAATGGAAAGAGAAAGGGAAATAGAAAGAAAAGGAGAAAGAATTGATATTCGAATTCCAAGCTATGTTTGGTTGAGTTAAGAAATTGAGGGAGGGAAAAAAGAGCCTAAGTGAACTCAAAAGACAAAAAGTGATATTGCATTTTCCTCTCACTTTCTTTTTCCTTGTGTTTTCCATTATAACCAAACAAAATGTGAGATTGCAATTGCAATTGCATTTCCTTTTCCCTTTCCATTTCTCTCATCAAATCTTTCAACCAAACACAGCCTAAGGCTCAGACTGGTTTTGTGGAAATAATAAATGATGGCAAATGGATGGGTAGATTCCCAATTCCTGATCTTCTTGAAACACAAGATGTGAGTACCTATTTGAATATCTTAATGTTGACAGCGTAATCTATCGGCCTAAGCCCACTTCTAGATTATTTAGTTTTTTTTTACGAATGCATCCGTACAACTATTGGTATTAATTCAAGCAAGTCATTCAGTTTTAAAATCAAAGGCAATATAAAAGGAAAATTGTGTCTGCTACCAAACCTCCAAATACTAGATATGGTGTAACTCTTCGCAGTACTAAAAAAACAAAACACTGAAGAGGCCAAGCGGATGAATTGGGTGATGCTAAATCAATGCCTTCTTGTTATGCAAATCTCATCAGATGGCTCATAGAATTGGAGTTCAGCCAGCCAGTCTTTGTTTGAATTTGTTAAGCTGTATGCTCGTTGTGGTGATGTGTGTGTAGGACTAATTTTTTGGTAATGAAATTTTTTGTTTGTTAAGCTTAAGCTTTTAAAACAGATTGATAGAAACCAACATCCCATAATTCCCATATCCAAAAAAGTTCTGCAAGAACTTTCATGTAACTCTTTGTCATCATTTTTCTTTTTTTGGTGCCCACGGAAAAAAATGTTGCTTTGTCTAATAGCGATTTTGTTGTGTTTGCTTTGTTTTATAATGATGCAGAGTTCAAATGGATTAGGTATACAAGCTGTAAGTGGTACAGACTTTTGTGAGATTACGCTACAGTTTCCTAGTGACACTGACTCCAAATGGGTAGGTTTTTATTTTATTTTATTTCATTCATTAAATTACATTAAAGGCCAGCTTAGTCCAATAATAAAGATTGTCTTTAGCGTCCTTGATGGCGCGGGTTCAAGTCACAAAAACAGCCTTGTGCATTGGATTGCCCGTTATTCTTTAAATTACATATTCAACAATTTCACATTTCATACTTTGATGATGTTTTCAGTTACGTGCACTCCCTCTCCCCACTTTTAGACAACAAGAACATCGGATAGCTTTATAATCACTCTGCTTGGTTTTGGTTTTCAGAATTCATTTTTTAGAAAATTTTACTTATTTGTTTTCCATATTTTTTTGTTTTTACTGAATTTTCTTAATATTTTAAGCAATTTTTTTACCTTTTAGACACACCTAACATAAATACACTTAAAAAGTATAATTTTTGTGAAAAAAATCTTTAAAAAATTCACTAAATACCAAAAATACAAAAAAAATAAAATAAAAATTCAGTATATTTTTTGTATTTTTGTGTATTTATTAATTTTTTAAAATATTTTTTCACAAGTATTTTACTTTTTAGATACATCTAAGTAAGGTGCGTCTAAAAAAGTAAAAAAAAATTACTTAAAATTTTAAAAATATTCACTAAAAAAAACACAAAAAACAAAAAACTCAACTTTCAAAAAATTGAATTCAGAAAACTAAAACCAAACGCACTAAATGGTGTCATATAACTCATGTCTTAAATGAAGATTGTAAGTTGGAATATTAGAGGATTGAGGTCCTATAGAAAGAGGGGGATTATTAAAAAGTTTTTGAAAATCCAACAATTGGCTATTGTGATGTTTTAGGAGAAGAAGAGTGAGATGTGTGATAGGTCTTTGATTAAAAGCATTTGGGGGACACGATTCGTAAGTGTGCTTTCCTACCTTCTTGTGGGAGGCTGGGGGGAATTCTGATTATGTGGGATGAGAGGATAGTGACGGAGTGTGAGACAATTATCGGAGAGTTTTCATTGTCTATTAAGTTTAGGAATCTTGATAATAGTGAATGGTGGTTGTCAGGGGTCTATGGGCCCAATTGACCTAGTGCCAGACAGGAGTTAGCGGGATTATTTGGGCTTTGTTCTCCTAATTGGTGTGTGGGCGGGGACTTTAATTTCGTTAGATGGGTTTTAGATAAACTTAATGGCATTAGCACAATTAGGAGCATGAGGGACTTTGATTCTTTTATTAGTGACAAGAGGTTCTACCTAGGGTTGTTTCAGATCCTTGTTCGGTAATTTTTGAGAGTTGTCCATTTAAGTGGTGACCGACACCTTTTAGGTTTGAGAATGTGTAGTTAAAACATTGATTGTTTAAGGATTTTTTCCAGAAATGGTGGGTTAGCTGTATAGTGCATGGGTGGAAAGGATTTAGATTTATGAGAAAGTTGAAAGAGATTAAAGAAAAGTTGAGAGTGTGGAAAAGAGATGTTTTTGGCGATTTGTTTGAAACTAAAGCAATGACGGTAAAGAGGATTGAAGAGTTAGATATGAAGGAGTCTACGGAGGGCTTGTCTGGTGAGCTTAGAGATGAAAGAGTTACAATGAGAGCGAGGCTAGAAGAGTTGGTGTTTAAGGAGCAAATCTTCTGGAAACAAAGAGCAAAACTAAAATGGGCAAAAGAGGGTGATATAAATTCTAAATTTTTTCATAGAGTCGCGTTGGGGAGAAGGAGGAAGAATTTTATTAAGTCTTTGGAGATAGGTCAGGGGGTGGTAGTTAATAAGAAGGATCTTATTGTTGATGAGGTTTTTAAGTTCTATTCGAATCTCTATTTTGATGGGGGAGTGGAGTGACCAGGACTTGAGGGCATTAAATTGAATCCAGTGGAATTACCTAAGGCTAGATGGCTTGAAAGACCGTTCGATGAACAAGAGGTGTATCAGGCAATATTTGATTGTGAGAGAGATAAGGCGCTAGGTCTAGATAGATTTTCTAGGGCAGTCTTGCAAGATTGTTGGGATATAGTGAAAGGGGATTTAATGGGAGTTGTCAGGGAATTCTTTGAAAGTGGGGTGGTTAATCTTTGCACAATGCATCATTTATTAGTCTTATCCCCAAAAAAGAGAAGTTGGTTAAGATTGGGGATTTTAGACCTATTAGTTTGATTACATCTCTTTCAAAATTTTGGGGAAGGTGCTTTCAAAGAGACTTCATGATGTTTTGAGTGATACAATTTTGACAACACAAGGTACCTTTGTACAAGGAAGGTAGATTTTGGATGTGGTCCTTGTAGCCAATGAAGTGGTTGAGGAATATAGGGGCTTGAAAAAGGAAGGAATTATCTATAAGGTGGATTTCGAGAAAGCATATGACCATGTGGATTGGGGTTTTTCGGATTTTGTTATGAAAAAGAAGGGTTTCGGAGAAAGGTGGAGGAGGAAGTGAATTTGGGGGTGTGTATCTTCATGTAATATGTCAGTTATAGTAAACGGCAAGGCTGTCTAGAGGTTTAAGATAGGGGGATCCACTATCTCCCTTCCTTTTCATTTTGGTTGTAGATGTGTTGGGTAGATTGATGGATAGGGCGAAAGAGATGGGTGAAATTGAGGGGTTTGTGGTGGTAAGAACAGGATTTGTGTTTTTCATTTACAATTTGCGGATGATACCATATTTGTTTCATCAAAAGAGGAGAGGAATGTTGGCAATTTGCTTGCGCTACTGAGAATTTTTGAAGTTGTGTCTGGACTCAAAGTCAATCTCACCAAAAGTTGTGTGGTAGGAATTGATTTGGAATTTGGACTTGAGCAAAGAATGGTAGACTTTCTAGGCTGTTTAATCGAAAAGTTTTCCTTTACAGTATTTGGGGTTGCCATTGAAGGGGCAGTGAACCAAGGTCGGAGGCTTTTTGGAATCCTGTCCTTGATAAGGTTGGGAAAAGATTGGAGGGAGGGAAGAGAGTGTTGTTATCAAGAGGGGGGAGATATACTTTAGTGCAATCAGTGTTTAGCTACATTCCCGTTTACTTCTTGTCTCTGTTGAAAATCCTGGTTAGAGTTGCTAAAAAAATTGAGAAGTTAATGAGGGATTTCTTGTGGGAAGGGCACGATGAGCGGTTTAAGTTTCATTTAGTTACGTGGGAGGTTGTTATTCGTCTAAGAAATAAAGGGGGTCTCACTATTGGAAATGTGGTTGCAAGGAACAATGCTCTCTTGAGCAAATGGTTATGGAGTTTCCATAAGAAAGCGAATCGTTGTGGCATTCCATTATTAAAAGCAAGTATGGCGTTCAGGCCAATGGCAGAGATTCTGTTGTGGTAAATAGAGGTTGTTGTAGATCACCATGGAAATCTATTTCTCCTTTTTTCCCACTCGTGTCCTCATTCCTTTCTTTGAAAGTGGGAAATGGGGAAACCATTCAATTTTTGGGAGGATGGGTGGGTGGGGGATTTCTCTTTTGATAGCCTATTTCCACTTCTTTATCTATTGGTTCAGGTTCAGAATGTGTCAATTGCGTCAGTGGCCTGTGCTAACTTGACACCAATTTCTCGGAACTTCAACTTAATCTTAGTAATAGAGAGACTCTTGAGTTGGTTTCTTTGTTGTCATTGCTTGATGGGATTTCTTTGGTCTCTCAGAATAGGGATAGGAGGGTTTGGAGCATCAATTTTTCAGGGCTTTTTCATGTAAATCTATGTTTGAGAGGGTTATCAATGTTCCTTCTATTCCTTTATTTCCTTTTCATAAAAAAAATCTGGAAAGCGGTGGTACCTTATAAAGTGAAGTTCTTTATGGTCCTTAGCTCACGGGAGTGTCACGACCAATGATATCCTCCAAAGAAGAAGGCCCAATCATTCTCTTGATCCTCAATGGTGTATTTTGTGTAAGAGAGATGCGGAATCAGCGGATCATTTGTTCCTTCATTGCTCGGTGGCTATTGCACTATGGTAGCGTCTCTTTGGCCTTTGTGATGAGCTGTGGGTTGCTCTGAGGGTGTCCACGCATTTGTTGTTGATTTCCTATGGAGGATTTGGAAGCAATAAGAAGGCCAAAGCTTTGTGGTCTTGCATTATTTTCGCTTTTTTTTTTTACCATTTGGTTGGAAAGGAATAACAGGATCTTTAATGAAAAGGAATCTGAGGTTGAAGCTGTGTGGGATAGAGTGAGGCATCTTGCATAGTTTGGGCTTGTGTGTCCCCCCCTTCAAGGACATATCCCTTTCCTTCATCATTAGGGATTGGGTGGCTGTTTGTCACTCCTAGTAGTGGATTGTCATATGTTTGGCTGTGGCTTCCTCGGTTTTTAGTTTTGATTTCTTGCTTTTGTATGAGGACTTCTTGTCCTCCACTTGTTTTCGTCTTTTATCTCAATAAAATTATTTTGTTGCTCTTCAAAATATATATATATATATAACTCATATCTTCAATCCCTCCCCTCACACACAAATTTTGTTTTTTTGGCATGCCATCATTCTACATAGCTACATGGTCTCTTTTACTTTTTTGACTTATTCTTTATCCTTATATGGAGTCCAATATCTAAAACAGAGAGATCCCAAAACAGGAGAACCTGAAGGCCTTTCATTTAGTTTCAATCTCTGTGAAGCTGTAGCAACATGGGAACAGGTGAGCATGCTATTTTGCTTACTGCCTTTCAATTTTATACTGTCATCCAATTCTATTCACTGAGGTTGTGCTATGAGCCTTAGCATTCAGGTGAATTATTTGTCATTGATGTATGCTTATTGAACAGGTGAGTCTGTAGTGGTCTGGTCTTTTTTCCTTTGATCTTCACCTAGATTAGGGTCAAGTTCCCGAAGAAGAATTCTTACCACTTACTTGTTAGAGTACTGTTTCATAATTTTCCTTGCAAGAGTTTAACTTTATCAGTTTACCTACCAACTTAAAATACTGTTTTTATACTTTAATTATTGATTTGTTATTTAGTGAGCTGAATTGCTCAGGTGCGGAATAGTACCACAATACTCACTAAGGAGTTCATTGATGCTTTACCCAATGGATGGGAGGACTATGCATGGCAGAGAATTAATAAGGGAATACTTCTGTAAGTACTTTACATGCTACTGGTGCTACAGAAACTTATTATTCAATGTATGGATCGATGATTACTTGATTGAGAGAGATGATTTTGTGCATGTGTACATACCGCATACATATTTATGATATGTACTCAAAAAATAAAACCCGTTTTTTAGGCAGTTTGCAAATTTTGTAAGATCATAAAACCTTCACTAAGGCCTATTATGACACTGTTGAATGTGCCATCATGACTATTTGTTCTCTTAAGTAAGTTAAAACAAAAACAAATATCCTTAGAATATCCCCTGCTGGATAGTTCTGAACAAGATGTGGGGATTCTGTCTGCAACAGCCATTCTATGTTAATAAATGAATTGTGCTGTTTAAAGCAACCGAAATAGTGTAGAACCATAGCTATCTGATGTAGTGTGTTTCTTTTTGCAGCAACCGATGTGAAAATAAGACTCTTTGCATGGAGAAGCTTTCTTTGGTACTCCCTGAAATACCACCATATTTTCCAAGGCAGTTTGGCCAGTGTGCTGTTGTTGGTAATTCAGGGGATCTTCTGAAGACGAGGTTTGGAAAGGAGATAGATGGTTATGATGTTGTTGTCAGGGAAAATGGTGCACCAATCCAGGTTTGCATTAAGTTATTGGATTTAAAGGACTATGCCACATTGATCCTTATGTATAATTCATACTTTTTTTGTACTTTTTTTCTTTTTGCATATATTGCAGAACTATACAGATTATGTGGGTAAAAAAAGTACATTTCGCCTTCTTAATAGAGGATCTGCCAAAGCACTTGACAAAGTTGCAGAATTATATGGTAGGATTGCTACTCCCCTCATTTTGAGGCCATTCTATTGTATTTGAAGCATGCTAATGATTATGCATTTTACAGATACTGGAAAGGAGGTATTGATCATTAAGACAACAATTCATGACATCATGAACAAAATGATTCTGGTTTGTATATGGTCTTTCTTGCTAATAAAGATATTTATGATTCCCCCCAAAACAAGTAATTGTTCCTGCAATTGATATCTAGGGAAAGCTGTTAGCATTCTTTGAAGTTTTGCTACTCCCCTCATTTTGAGGCCATCCTTGTGTACCTCGTCTAACTTGTAATAAGTAGGTTTGGTATGTATAGGGGTTGGTCACCAAGTTTTTACCTCTGACAAGGATGAATAATAAGTAAAACAGATCGAGTCCTGTTTCTTGATTTTGTTATTACTAGTGTTAGAATCAAATATATGTTTGCTCTTTACTTGACAGCATTTGCAATGTACTGTAATTGTGTTTTGGGGAATGTGGATCATCTCAAATAGGAGACTTCTATTCTTCTTCTTTTCAACCTACGTCTCACTAAGTCACAACTTTTGGGTTTTGTCTTCTGTAGGAAATTCCAATTCGGAATCCTGTATATCTCATGTTAGGTGCATCTTTTGGTTCAGCAGCAAAAGGAACTGGGCTCAAGGCTCTTGAGTTTGCTCTCTCCATTTGTGACACTGTCGACATGTATGGTTTCACTGTTGATCCAGGTTATAAGGAATGGTAAGAAACTATAGAATTTGAATTGGCATATTGTACCGAGAGGAGATAATTGTAACAATTGTAATGCATGTACCTTACCAAGGTGCCATAACTAAATTCATTTCAGGACAAGGTATTTCTCGGAGTCTCGAAAAGGTCATACTCCACTGCAGGGTAGGGCTTATTACCAGATGATGGAGTGTTTAGGAGTAAGTTTATGGCTTCGGTTTTCTTTTATGCTGAAGCTTGTATCTTGCTTGAACAAATTTAACAAATTCAATGTCGTTGTGAGAATTATCAAAAAATATAATATAAGAAAATAAAATAAAATAAAAATGTTGATGACAGAAATAAGGAATGCGAACCACAACCATTATGGATACCAGATGGGACTGGAACTTTCAAATTAAAGGATTATCACTACTTTTTTAATCATTACTTGTTTCCTGCTTTAGCTCAAAGCATCCATATTATAGTCATTCTTGTGCATTGTTTTTTCCTTATTGCTGCAAGTACGAAAACACTTTCGCCATTTCACCACCTCATGAGTCCTTTGTGGTACACATAGAATTGTATTCCTTACAATTATTCGGTTCCTACTGTAGTTTCTCATATTTTACTCCTGCTTCCCCACCTCTCTTTTTCTTCAGCTTGTTAAGATTCATTCTCCAATGCGATCTGATCCAAACCGTGTTGTAAAGTGGGTACCTGACCGTGGCACTATTGCTGCTGCCAGGATTGCATCAGAAAAGTTATTAAGGTAACTGATCTTCATTTTGTTTTCTTTTCCTTTCAAATTAAAGCCTTGAGTAGTTTATCATTTGCTTGAACAATAACCACTCAAAGAGGTAGATAAAAATATTTGGTTCGATGTTTCTGATGATATCACTGACATCCCCTACAGACCTATGGCTTTTGAAATATACTCTGTAATTTGAACTGTCTCGAGGTTTGGGTGTCAAGCATCATTTTCGTCTGCTATTTGAGAATGGGTCAATTTATATTGAAACAGTGAAACTCTTAGTTTGAATCTTATTTTAAGTGGGTATATTATCAGGTAGAGAAACAAACCTTGATTAGGGAAGTCTATTGCTGTAAAAAAATCCAGGTGAAGGTTTCTAGTAGTGCCCACAATTGGTGCTTTAATTACGCACATAAAACTGTCCAAACCAGTGTTGAAGAAGATTTAAATTGACTGTAATCCAGGATTTAAATTAACAGTCTAAATCAATAGCATCAGAGTACACTATTACTATTGATGACTTGCTGAAAGTAATCAGTCTATAGCGTTCCTCATATATTCATCAAATACTGGCTGAATTGTTTTCCTGTTTTGTACTTCACAAATTTGGTGAATGCCAACACAGACCTAGATAAGTGTCACCATTTAATGTCAAGCATGTGTATTGTAAAGACAAAGATATTGAATTTATGGGTCCCTTTTCCTATTTCTTTTGCCTTGTGTTCTTCATGGCTAACAAAAAACTGACTTTGGTGAAGATCTACAGACTCTTATGGTTGAGAACAATATTTTGAAGTAAAAAATTAAGGTCCTACATCTAGTCAGTCTAAATTGCTTTGCTTATTTGCAAAATTTATTTAATGTATTAGAGGGCGATTTGATGAAATGAACTAGGGATGAAATGAACTAGGGTGACCATTGGTTCAATGGTTAAGACTTGGCCTAATAACCTTGAGGTTATGAGTTCAAGTCTTGGGACCATCACTTTGCACATTATGCCAAAGGTTAGATGTGTACTCAATCTTTTCCCTCTCAAACACACATTAATGTATACTAATTGGGTGTTGTTTTTTTAGCTAGGGATGCAGGAAACTCTGTAGTAATTAACACTCCTGATTTTGATTCCGTATATCAAAGTGTGACTTCCGAGGTTGTAATGAGGGCATATATTGCAGCCCAGCTGCCCTGATTCCTCCAGTTTTGGTGTCACTTTTCATTTACGATATTTGATGATCATCCAAATCAAAGTAGAGTAGCACATATTTTATTATCTACAGCAGAATCTTTCAGAATCTCCTGAGATAAGTTTAGTTGGAATCATTATTGATACTAATTGGAAATTTTTTGTCTGGGAGGTATTTGGCAGTGTAAAGGGTAAAGATGTTTAGTTCTATTATCTGTAGGGATAAATAAATACACCCGGCATTCCAATTGATAATACAGGCTTATCTCTTGCCTTTTCATTATGTTCAAGCCTTTTGTTTTAATATTTTGTTTGGCATGTCTCTCTCAGATTTAACATTCTTGTGCTGTGCTAAATTGAATTCTCTTGTGGATGGTGAATAATTTCATTTTTTGATAATTACAACAAATAAACCCTTTTCATTTAAGAGTGTGATAGGACATATATTTGATAATTTTTTATTCATGTTGATAGGAGGGTTGGAGCAGGATCTGGGGATATACTGGGTGCATGTTCCATCATCAAGAAGCAAGTTAAAGGAAAGCGTACCGGAGTTTCAGGCCTTAGAAAGGCTGTTATGGAGCATCAAAAATATGTGAAACGAACAACGATGTACCCTTTGGAGCACAATCCTGGTCACGGTTTAGTCTGCACAGTGCCAAACAGTTGAATCTTTCGTGGGTAATGTATGAATGCATGCAAATACTTTGGGAAAGAAAAAGAGTGGTTGCCAGTGTACTCGGTATTCAAATTCTTTAGAAGCACATATGACCATTCTGATCAAGTTGGTAATTTTGTTTCACAGCATTAAGTTTTCCACAAATTCCCCAATTTATGCCATAGGTCCACCCTAACACATCCCACATGAACTTCATGAGAGTCAAATGTAAGATTAGATGAGAAATGAGGAACCCTAGCCTTCTTGTGTAATTTTCTCATTCTTTTTCAGTCTCATCTGTTCTAACCATAGGTCAGAAGATTGTTTTTCAGATTCTCTTACATAGATCCCAGATTGTTGGAGTGATGATTAGTTAATCATTTTGTTTTTTTGCTTTAGGCTGTGTTTGGTTCTTGTTGGATTTGTGGTGGGACTTGTGAAGTTAGGTTTTTTCACTGTTCCCTTTCTTTTCCTTTTTCCTCCAGAAAAAAATCCAAGATATAAACACTTGGTGTTGCGAACTTCTATTTGTAGGTTCTGTTTTTATGTGAAATGCCTGTGAGGACCGCATAATTATATGGCCAAGTCTATGCCTATGGTACATATCCTTACGCAAAAGTTATGCCTCAATTTGTTATTGGTTATGACTTGAAATAATGATAATGATTTAAGAAAAATGTTAGGAAGTCCAAAAGTTTGATCAAACTTTCTACTAAATATCTCACACCATGTGGGTCCTATGTAGGTCTCACACTCATGAATGTGAGACATTTAGTAGAAAATTTAATAAAATTTTTGAAATCTTTAACATTATTCATGATTTAATATCGTCAAATTAAATTGAGGTCAACCCGTATTAGGCCCGAAACAAAAGGCCTCTTTTGAAAACACAGTTTTTAGTCACTTTTTTGGGTTCATAGTTTTTAGTCACTTTTTTTGGTTTTTAGCAAAAGTTAAAAGTTGGCTTTTCTATATTTTTTTTCATTTGAGAAGTTAGTTTTTAGCCAATGGTGAAATTACAATTTTATCTCTCATGGGTCAAAATGTGCTATATGGATAAAGTTGTAAATATTTTAAATTAAATGGGGATAGTTTGGTCATTTTATTGTGATTTGACATCATAAACAAATATTAATTAAAAAAGTCAAAAGTAATTTTTTATCAACTTTTCAAATCATTTGTCTAAAAAAATTAAATTTTTAGTTAAAAATCAAAAAATCACTTTTTACCATCTTAAAATATGTCAAAATAGTGTTGATTATGTCTCAAAAATGATCTGAGGATTGTACCGTGTGTGCTTTAAAGCGGCGTTTGTTGTCCCACAAGGTGATTGGTGTATTTGGTGTGTATCCAAAAAAAAAAGTGTATACTGTAACAAAACCCTATTTATATACACACACATATATATATATATATATATAGTGTTGTGACGATTCTGATATCTTGTCCCTTTATTGTTTAATTTTCTCTTCTAATTGAAAGTGAACAATATTTTCGTCTAGCTTGACCATAAACTTTCCAAATTGTTCTTTGTGCTGCTGATCCACTAAACTAATGCTTACTAGATAAATGATCACTATACATAGCACGTGTATATATATGATAAGGTGTACTAAATGATACCTATAAAATTGGAAAGTGTGCAGAACCCTCTACATATATTATTTTTGGGGACAATGGACGTTGTAGTTTAGGAAATGAATTTTTTTGCCGATGACAATATGTCTAATAAAATACTAACATGCTTGAAAAAGGTTATCTTGATTAATCTCTAAGAGGGGTTTGGAATGGAGTTTCAATGCCCTCATATTCTAAGTACACTCATTTCACTAATTTTAAATTTTAATATTATCATAATAGCAAAAATGGATTGCTATTAGCACCTACCTCTTTATTTTGGACTTCCCCATTCCTTTATTTATTTTTTTAATTCCAATTTTATGGTAAAATTTCATTTCTTCCCACATCCTTTAATCCTAATTTTTTAAACTCTAACCCTAATTCCATCACTTTTGACAACCACTGTTTACCCCAACGCCGACCGTCCATGTCACGACCCAAACCCGCCCCTAAGGGTTTAGCATCGTAACTGGCCAGTAATCTGTGATTATCGAAGGTCTGCTTAACAGTAATAATAATAATACAGAGTAAGGGGTTGGTGGAAGCCAAACAATAAATAAAAAATGTCCAATAAGCTGTGAAAATCTGAAATGCAAAAGACCTTTACGGACTAGTCCACATTCATAACCATAAACATATATACATATATTAGATATACATAACATACAGATTAGGGATCCAATCCCTTCACCATAACTTACAGTCACAAGTCATAAGCATTTATTACAAAACAGGGACAAAATGGTGAATTTGAGACACCCCAAAACAGCCTTGGCTTGAACGGACTCAGAACCTCGAAGTGAGGCATGATGGTTGGCTTGACAAAACAAAAGCTTAACTTGACGCTCCTAGTTTCGGTCCGGTGCATGGCCACCTACATACATATATAAACAGTGAGCTAAAACCCAGTGAATAACAAATGCGTAAAGGGGTTAAGAATAAATGTCCTTTCATTAATTAAAATAGTCAGTTGCATCAGTAAATCAGTTATTCAATCAGTGGCTCATATTTTATGCCATATCAGTCATTTAAAAATCATAACGGTCATACGTGGTACGTCCAATAGCAAAGCAGTACAGTAGGTCTTATTAGACTGAACAGTCAGTTTATGGCCATCAAAACAGTAAACAGTAGTAGTTCCAAACATTAGAACTAACAGAGATCTCTGTAACAGTAGCAGTAACAGTACAGTAACAGTAAGTTGCTATGGATGTCACGAGTACAGTTTACAAATATGACAACATTCATTCAGTAAACAATGTTACTTCAGAAAGCAGTACAGTCAATCGTTCAGAAAATAATTAGAATTGAACATATCTTTACAACATTGTTACTCACAGAGTACTGGGCTATTAGCAGGCTAATCAGCGTCCTCGGATGCCAACCCTACAGTTGCAAAACGAATACACACTAAATTGCACACTCGGGATTATATAACTTAGCCCCTATATGGCTTGGTGTGGTTCTATAACTTTATCCTCATTAAGATGCCTTAAACATGGCCTAGAAATGCCTAGGATGGAATGAGAATGCAGAAATGTACTTTAAAACACTTTTCAAAATTTGCTGAAAACAGGGGTCTCGCTCGAGCGTGACTTTCCCCGCTCAAGCGGACATGCAGACAAAGAGGCTCCGCTCGAGCGTGACTTCCTTTGCTCGATCGGACTGCAAACTCGTGAAAAAGTACCAGTTGCATGTTTTTCACGCTCGATGGACGCTTGACCCACGATTGAGCGTGAGACTCAGACCCTCGCTCGAGCGCAGATTACCTCGCTCGAGCGGGCTGCAAAACACATGAACTTCTGGGCATATGCATTTCACGATCGAGCGTGACCCTCAACGCTCGAGCGGAAGTGCATGTACTCAGAGTGTACGCTCGAGCGTGAAGTCCTCCGCTCGAGCGTGGATCAAAAATCTGGAATTTCCAGATTGATCCTCAAGCACAAAACTCAACCTCAAAAGCTTCAAATTCGATTTTTCTGAGCTAATTTTCTGGAAAACACTTAGAAACCCGTAATACAACATGTTTCAAAGATCATTTTATAAAATCAAGCCCAAATGTGTGACAATTGAACACAATTTTGAACGAAACTTGAAGAACAATGCAAGAACATAACATGCATGAGTTCTCATGAATTCTAATGCTCCAAAACATGATCAAATGCAAGATTATACTTTAAAACATGGTGAATTCTTGAACCACAACTAAAATATGAACATGCATGTAGGATTTTTATGAAAACAACCTCAAAATGGACATGCATGCATGAATTCACTCTCAAATCAACACTTTAAGCTAATTCTTGACTTTAATCACCAATTGAACATAATTTCAATGAAACCTTCATGAACAATGCATGTAACAACCATGTAACAACTTCAATTCATAATCAAAAGAATGAATTTTCTACCTTAAGTCTTGAATTCCAAGTGTAGAAGCCTAATTTTGCAAGTCTCTTTCAATTCCTCTAATTTTCCAAACAACTCTTAATGAAATCAAGTTTTCTTCCAACTCTATCGCTCTCTCACAGTTTTGGTCTTGGAGATGGTTGAGATGATGTATCAAATGTATAAATTAAGTCCCAAACAATGTTTTAGAAAATGGCCCACTCAATGGCAAAACATGTAATTAACTAGGCTCGATTAATTTAACATTAATAATTCTAATTTAATCATTCCAAATTGAGTTTTGATTAAGTCTACCATAAAATCATATAAATCCTAATTAGCATATAACACTAATCAATTTCTTAATCGGTCGCCGATAAGGCTTTCAATTCGCAGTTCAAAATTAAAACATGAAAAGATCAATGGACATGCATGCATGAATTCACTCTCAAATCAACACTTTAAGCTAATTCTTGACTTTAATCACCAATTGAACATAATTTCAAACCTTCATGAATGAACAATGCATGTAACAACTTCAATTCATAATCAAAAGAATGAATTTTCTACCTTAAGTCTTGAATTCCAAGTGTAGAAGCCTAATTTTGCAAGTCTCTTTCAATTCCTCTAATTTTCCAAACAACTCTTAATGAAATCAAGTTTTCTTCCAACTGTATAGCTCTCTCACAGTTTTGGTCTTGGAGATGGATGAGATGATGTATCAAATGCATAAATTAAGTCCCAAACAATGTTTTAGAAAATGGCCCACTCAATGGCAAAACATGTAATTAACTAGGCTCGATTAATTTAACATTAATAATTCTAATTTAATCATTTCAAATTGAGTTTTGATTAAGTCTACCATAAAATCATATAAATCCTAATTAGCATATAACACTAATCAATTTCTTAATCGGTCGCCGATAAGGCTTTCAATTCGCAGTTCAAAATTAAAACATGAAAAGATCATTCAATGACAAACAGATAGAAATGCAATTAAAGCAGCACACTCATGCAATCAGTTCAAGATTTCATCTTAATCCATTACTTATCATGCTTAATCACAGTTTAAACTAATCAGAGGTGAGGGTTGTCACAGTCCATCACGCGCGGTCGTCCACCTTCTCATCGTCCCCAATATCGCAGCACTTTCTCCTCCTTCATTCCACCATCGCGTCATTGCCATCACTGTCGACCACCTACTGCTACTGCCATCACCGTCGAAACCCTAACCTTAGATCTCATTGTCAATCTTCCTATCACTGTCGTCTCTGGCCATTTTCATCAGACCCTAACCCTAGACCTAGGGTTTTCAGAGAGAGTGAGACGAAGATTAAGTGAGGCGATGGCGACAGAAATGATAGTAACGATGGCGACGTGAAGCGATGGGTTTTGCAGCGAAAAGAAAAAGAAGAAGATTGGGTTAAGGTTTGCGATCAGGGGGGAGTTCGTGACGGGGTAGGCAAAGTGTTATGATGGTGTAATGGTGAGACAGAGGAGATGGTGCGATGCAAATTCAAATCTCTCTTTAATTCAGATCGCGGTGGTGTAATGATGGTTTGCTGGAGCTAAGATAGAGGGGCGAAGAAGAAGAAAAAATGGTAAGAGGTAGGCTGCTAGAGGCAATGGCAGTGGTACCGGATGTGATGATTAGAAATGGGGGCTAGGGTTTGGGTTTGGGTTTGGGGTATAATTGGTATTAAGATGGGAATTCAAAGAGAAAATGACGAGGATTCATTTTGCTGGGTAGGGGTTCAAAGAATTGGAGATCCAAAATAAAAAGGTGGGTGCTAATAGCAGCCTTTATAGCAAAATTATCCCATTTATAATATTTCACTACCTAGCCCAACGCTCACCACTTCTATCTATCATTGTCATTGTCACTACCTTCTCCATCTCCAATCATCATCCTAGCATTTCCTTTACCACACTTAGTCTCTCCTTTTGTGATGATGTCCTCTACTCCCATCTTCTCTCCTTTCCATCCCTAATGTCTCTTATCTACACTCTTTTGACCTCTTTGCAACCCTTACTCCATTCCTAACACATTGTCTTCCATCCTTTCCTATTGCCACTTTATCTTCCTCTGTCTTCCTATCCTTATCATGTGCCCTCTTTTTTCTTGATTGCCATCACCACATTCTCTTCTTAAAACCTAGTGACAACCATTTCTAGAGAGATCCTAATTGGAAGAGGGGAAGAAAAAAAAAATGGTGAGGAAAAGCATCAAGAAGGGCTCGAGTGGAAGGGTCGAGGTAGAAAAAGAAGGCTTGAGGTGGTGCTTGTAGGCTTGGGGTTAATTATTTAATAATTAGTTTTTTTAATTAAAAATAATAATAATTTTGTTTAAAGGTCGAACTATAAAAAGGAAATAAAAGTATAAGTGACTCAAGCACTAATTTGTGTAAAAAAAAAATTATACTTTCATGCATTTGAAATTAATTTACTATCGTATTCTCTCAACTATAAATATTAAAAAAAAAAGAGTAATTTTTATTTAATTTAGTTATATTTTGAAAATAGATTAAAATAGTGAAAAAGTTATAAAAAAAAATTAATTATTCTTTTATATTTTTTTACATGTCTTTTTTTTTTTGGTAAACAATTAAAAAAAAAAACTTTGTTTGGCATTTGAATGACTAAAATAATTAAAATAGTAAAAAAAATATTATAAATTATCACATTACTCTTTTATTTTTTATATTTATTTTAATAAAAAATTAATTAAAATAATGGGAGACTTATTTATAAGTCATTTTTCAGACACTTATGGTAGGCTAAGTCCTGTGTAATTTCTTATAGAGTCTCAAGTCCTATTTAGATAGAAATGTATTCTACAAGATTCTACATAAGCGTAACGTGACGTGACACTTACGTGAACGTAACGTAACGTAACACTTACATAAACGTAACGTAACGTGACACCTACATAAATGTAACGTAACGTGACACCTATATAAACGTAACGTAATGTGACATCTACATAAACGTAACGTGACACCTAAATAAACGTAACGTAACGTAACACCTATATAAACATAACGTGACACCTACATAAACATAACGTAATGTAACGTGTCACGTTATGTTTCGCAAACTTAATGAGTTTTTATTTTTTTAAATTGAAATATTGTTGGTTTATGTTGGTGTCACGTTACATTTCATATAAATATGATCTATGGTAACATTCAATTTCCTATATAAGAAATTAAATGTTGCCATAGATCATAGGTGTCACGTTACGTTTATGTAGGTGTCACGTTACATTACGTTTATGTAGATATGATCTATGGTAATATGTAATTTTCTATATATGATTTTCCTTTCGTAGGTGTCACGTTACGTTTATGTAGGTGTCACGTTACGTTACGTTTATATAGATATAATTTATGATAACATTCAATTTCTTATATATGATTTTATTATTATGTATGATATTAACAACTAATATTGAGAGTAAATGTGTCAATAAACTTTTCACAAAACTTATGAAAATATAAATTTTTTAATAAGACTAAATATAACATAAATTTTTCTAATAAGACTTATAAATAAATAATCTATCCTTCAAATCATTAAATTCGAAAATAACCAGTTAAAAAAGGATAATGTGAGCGAATAGAAGTTGGCCATGAAAGGAAGAAATGGCAAAGTTTGCTTTTCAATTGACTCTGACAAGGGCAACACGTGTCCCCTCGACCTGGACAAAATGAAACTCGTCACGCACTCACTGGTCTAGTACTACTAAAAACCCCTCTCTTTCCTCTCTTTCTCTCTCTCCCTCTCTCACGACGCTTCGATTATTCTCTTCTCACTCACTCTCTCAATCACTTCATTCATCATTCCTATCTTCACTTCACTTCACTTCTCTTCTCTTTGTCTCGTTCTCTCACACTCTCAAATCCAAGTTCCCGAAAAAGGCCTCTTTCATCCAAATGTTCTCCTACATATAGATTATATATATATATATATACACAAAAGTCATTTCTCAGAACCCTAGCCAGAGAACAAAGATTATCACTTTACACCACCGTTAATGGCGGAGCTACAGCCCCCGGAGGGCCATACCAACGGCGGGGCGGTGACTTCGGCCGCTGAGAACGTCGGCACGAAGCGACAGCGCAGGCCAAGCGTTCGGTTAGGGGATATCGGAGATCAGGCCTACGATTCCCACTCGAATCGGAGAACTAAGCAGTGGAAGCTTCCGATGAAGGACTCAGGCAAGGGTTCCAAGACCCGAGTTTTGATGAATTTGAGCGGTAGTGGTGGTGGTGCCGGAGAATATTACGAAACCCTAGATGCTGATGAGAGGGAGGGAAACTTGGATAGCGTTGCGATTGGGAGTTGGAGAGTGAAGGATTCGAAGTCGAAGAGAGGTTCGACGAAGCGAGTTAGGTCTAATTGGGCTTCCAAGCTCGATGACGGTGGTGGTGCTGGTGGTTGTAGTGGCGAAGGGGACGAGAAGTTGAGCGGTGGAGAAGATGTTGATGATGGGTTTAGGGATTTTTATACTGAGGGTTTGGAGAGTCCGTTGAAGGAACAGAGTCCAATTCACTCTTTGGATAATATGGCTGTTGATGAGAATAGAGGCCACGAAAGGGAGGTTCATTTTCATGGGAATAGATTGGGTGCTAAAGTTAGGGTTTCCGACCATGATGGGGTTGAATTGGATGGTCCATCCGATACCGATGCTGGAAATTGGAACAATGTGGAAAGGAATGGGGTTAGGGTTTGGCTGAATCAATTAGGTTTAGGACGGTACGCCCCGGTTTTCGAGATACATGAGGTGGATGATGAAGTTTTACCAATGTTGACACTGGAGGATCTCAAGGATATGGGAATAAATGCAGTTGGTTCGAGGCGGAAAATGTACTGTGCCATTCAGAAGCTAAGCAAAGGGTTTTCATAAGGTTGATTTGCCTAGTGGGTCGATGCAATTGAGAGAAAATCACTCAGCTATGGCAATGAATGACAGAATGTCTGAACTGCTTCGAGCTTTTAATGTATTTTCTCACAACCTTTAGTAGTTTGTAGTTTTGGAATGGAATAGTTCTGTTTTTGTTCTTAATATATTCTTTATTGCCCTCTATGCATTTTAATCTACTAATGTAGTTTCCTAGTAGATAGTGTTTTGATAAGCTGCTAAAGTAGTTCTAGAGAATATCCATAAGTTTTGGGAGATGACAGGAAGGTGGTTAGCTAATGAGAGAAAATAGATGATGTAATTTTGAGAATGTTTAGCTATATGTTTTCTGACCATAGATGAGCAGAACTTAACTTGCCTTGATGTTAGTGATAAATTTGTCTCCAAGAAATTTCTGTTTGTGAATAGTTGTTTAATTCTTCTTTCTTTTTGGGCAAGTGAGTGTGAGTAAGTGTTTATCATGTGTTACTCTTTGAAAGTTATTACTTGTTCCTTGCGGAAGTAAATATTTCTTCTTTGCTTGGGCATCTAGCATCTAGCATCTATGGCAAGTTTTGTTTTCTCATTTTAAACAATTTGTGGTAATCTCCATGAACTGAGATACTGTGAATTTTCATTCGGTTCTGAGTGAGGCTAGTTCATGATAAGTTGATGATTAGAAGAATAAACATAAAATGGGTTTTGACGGATCTATTTCTATTTTGTGATTTGAGCTAATACGTTTGTTATAGTTAGGATGATAGGACTATTGCTGAGTATCAAACACAGCCGCTTACTAATTGCTGGTTCTATTCCGGTGTGCAAAAGGAATGTGTTGGGCATACCGTCCCCGAATCCTGATTTTGTGATTTGATTGTCGCTGATCCACATAAGAACAAAGAAATAAGGATAATTTGAAATTGACTTGGTACTGATTTTGGGTAACCATAGAAAAGGAAGGGATAAAAGATAAATGAAAAGTCACTCAGTTAAACCGACTGTTGAGGTGCAGGGAGGTTCTCTTTTCCTTTTGCCAGGTTAAATAGAGTAATTAGGTGACTGGCCGTAGTAAAGTCAATGCACTGTTGGGTGAGATTTCTCAATCTGATCTTTACACAAGAAAGAAGCAATACAAAAAAAGAATTATGTTAATGATTTTCATAGAGTATGCGGCTCTCTCACGTCTCACTTCTCACCGTGATCAGTGTTTGAAACAAAAGCTCTTTTCACTGCATAGTAAATTGTGTTAGGAATTCATCAAGCTGTGGAGCTACCAGTTCTCATCACCATAATGAAGATTGAACAGTTTGTGTATTGGCAATTTTTTTTCCATCTCCACCCATTGCTTACCATTTGTTGTTGATGCCAATCATTTCTGCCTTTCAAGTGTTGATGTTATTTTACGATGTGTTGGGGTGCTAGGGTTATGGATTAGCTTTGCTGAAAGCAAGATACATAGGCTATAGGTGAAATCTAGATAAAAAATAATGTAGGATTTAGGGTTGGTATTCATCAATACCAATATTAGTTTCTCCATCAGGTGTTCCTCTTAGGTGCACACATGTGAAACTCATTCATTTTGAGAAGATACAGTATCTTCCATGTTGGCTGTATTGGCTAAATGCCCTTTTGACATTTTGGCCTTGTTTGTTATTTTCATGTATGTGGCTGAAAGGTATGAAACAAGATTTCTAGGGACTTTGTTTTGGATGTTTGACGAGTAGACCTACTCCTAGACTGAATGGTTTTACGAATACACAAGTTTTTAGTCGTGTAACATGTAACACATTAAATGACTCTCTATAAGAGAAATATTTTACAAGTGTCATAGAGGTGTCTATGATGTGGTTCAGCTTTAGTGGGATAGGGGAAAAGACTCGCTTTATCTTAACATTACTGGATTCTTGGAACTGGTTGCATGTATTTATGAAAAGAAGGGCTTAATGTTTCCAAATGTGTTTTGGTTACTTGTGCATTTTTCTGCTTAAGTAGCATGGGAATTTTTAGTTGGACCCTAAATATGATGTCTTTAAATTCACATGACACTGAATGTTAAGACTCTTCCATTCTTTTTGTTGCTTACTAAAGAGAGATGCTGGATAACTTGTGAAGCCGTAGAAGTTTGAAATGTGATTTATTATTGCTGCTTCTATATTAACCTTTCCATACTACACAATGTCACACTTTATAAAAATGTGATTGAGATGACAAAAATGTGATCTTCCCAACCGTTCATCACCATCTTGGTTTGGAGTTCTCTTTGGATCTCATCTTTGTTTTGCTCTTTAGGGTTGCAGTTGATGATTGTATTGCCATACCTACTGAAAGTAGGAAGAAATATGGCTCTAAGATTAGCAGACTCTTTCTCAGAAGCATGTCCGTACGTGGTACTGTGTTAAATCTTGTTAGTCTCCTAGAACCTGTTTGTTTTGGAAATTTTGGCATCACAGTTTTTTGTAATTGAGTTTGAGAAAACCAAACATCAATTTGCTTGACAGAACTGGTTTTGGATGCTGTGAATGTAAATTGGATCAGAGATAGTGTTTGTGTTCTACTTGCTCTATGGTATGCAAACAACACCAAATGTATATTATTGATGCAATTGGTCGGTTGTGTATTGTGATTGTGATTCAACTGACATGAGAAATACCTGGAAAATAGTTCTACTGATATTTGCAGAAGTGCCCAAATTTATGCCCTCAATGCATCGGTGTTTGGCCATACTCTTTTCGTTTAGCACCCTCAATGTGGATGAAATTACTTTTCTTTATAGGCGTCTGCGTTCTACAAAACTACCATTTAAATGACAATTACTCATTTTATCTTCAATTGGTGCAAACTTATGTCCTTCCTGTTTAGTTGTTGCAAATAACACATAAAACAGAGATCACACCACTTTTTTGTAAAAAAGAGTTAATCCAGAGCCTGATACAAACAAATTCAATAGTAGGTTAATCAGGATCTGATACTGCATTTCTAATACCACACAGGACTGTAACATTAGGGTTTTGATATGAATCAATTCAAGTGTGAACTAGTCATGACAAAGTGACTCCCCTTTATTTATCAGACACCATGTTTGGATTTTGAAGTCTCATCCCCTTCCATTTCTCTTATGTTGTGTTTGGTTAGGGGATTTGGGGAGGGATTTGGAAAGGGAAATGGAAAAGGTATGTGAAATGTGAATAAAATATGTATATATTTCACATAGTTTCACACATCTTTTCCCTTTCCCTTTCCAAATCCCTCTCTAAATCTCCTAACCAAACACACCATTAGGTTAGATAAATATTGTAATGTTGCATCACCTCGAAAAAAAGAAAAAAAGAAAAAAAAGTGAGAACTAGTCCCGGTTTTATTTATTGTTATCACCACATAGTCCTTGTTTTATGAGTGCATGTTGTTGCAACTTTTGGTTCCTTAGCCACTGCTAAATTTATCAGACACCATGTTTGGGTTTTGAAGTCTCATCCCCTTCCATTTCTCTTAGGTTAGATAAATATTGTAATGTTGCATCACCTCGAAAAAAAGAAAAAAAGAAAAAAAAGTGAGAACTAGTCCCGGTTTTATTTATTGTTATCACCACAGTCCTTGTTTTATGAGTGCATGTTGTTGCAACTTTTGGTTCCTTAGCCACTGCTAACCAGTTAGGCAATGCAACAAGGATAGTTGTCTGCCTCGAATTATGGTGTGTTTGGTCGTGATGTTGACTATTTTCAGAATGGTTGCTCTGCTATGAGTTCCCAATTTTATGTTTTTTTTGGTTGTTGTTGTTGGACCCTCACTTTTTAATAATTTTTTAGGGTTAATAACACTTTACCTACTCAATTATCACTAAATATTATTTCTCTCCTTTTTTTAAAACAGTACATCTAGATCCCTCAAATGCCTGAATGTAAGATTTTAAAGTTAAGGGAATAAGATGATATCCAGTAATAATTGAGAGGGTAAAATGTAATTAACATTATTTTATCTATTTATTTCAATTCTACTCTAATGTAAAATTTCAACCCTACTTCCATTGTTAACCTTCCAAACTGTAGCCCTGAACTTTCACCACCCTAGCCACCACCTTCCACTGTAACTGCCACCTCTAGTAACCCCTTCACACCCTCCCTGCCAATGCCAGTACAAAAATACTGTTGGAAAAAGTAATTTTCTTAATTAAAAGTTCTAATTCTAAAAATCTGTTGAGAAACTGTCATTTCATATAGGCAAAACACCAATTGTATTTGCCTAATCAAACCATAAACATAGAATAAAACATTCAATCAAAATAAAGAACAAAGTCAAATATATAATTGTACATGTAGAGAGATAGGGGTCAATGGTCTATCTCAATTCTATTTATCATTACCTCATAGAGAGAAAGGGGGTAGGGTGGGGGACTCGCAGAAACAATGGGTGGCAGGTGGTGGTAACGGGCTATAGGTTAGTAACAAGTCAATCCACCAGCCCAAATCGTATCTAATGACAAGGTCAGATCCATTCAGAATTGCCACATTTGATCACATATCAGGCTTATGTGATCCACTTAAAGCCGCCATGTCTATCACCTGTTGATGCAATCTTATCATTGTATGCGCTGTTTGAATCAGGAGAGAATCGAAACACTTTACACATTTTTCACTAAATGCAAAAATAGGCTACCAACTCTATTGAATTGCAGAGCTAATCGACTGCATCCATCTGGAGAAATTTAAGAAAACGCTTTAAAAACGGCAACAATCTTAAATAAGCCACAACCATTCTCAAGGAATTACAGCTGCTGCATATCTATACATTTTTAATCACCAAAATCTAAGAGAGGTCACACCAAAGACCAGCCCCACCAGCAAATACGCATCGTATCATTACTATGACAGCAGTAAAATAAACTCCTAAGCTCTTTTCAGAGTCTTGAAAACTTCACCAAACCAAAAAAGATTTCCTCTTCACTCAAGTTTGACCCTGCCATCATCAAGCTGTTGCTTCTTGGGCTAAGTTCAGGAAAAATCCAAATGGAAAAAAAGGTACTATTACCCTTTGAAATCAAAAAGTTGTTCAAAAAAAAAAAAAAAAAAAGAAATCATTACAAACAGAAATAGTCGTCTTCTTTATTTATTTATTTATATTTTTTTTAATGAGTACTGTATAAACAGAAACACCAATTATGTAGTTGAGTTTTAAGATGATTTTAAAGTCTACTTGAACTGCTCAATAATCCATGTGCTACGTCTGATGACAGCCAAGGGACACCAAGCAACATTCGAAAACATGGGAGGGGCAAATTTTACATGCTCCGAAATATTTGTACATGAAGGCCTATAATACCATTAATAGGGGTTCGATAGTATAAAATTTGAAAATATTCTGAAGCATAGCCAAGAGATCTACCAAGTATCCTCAAACAAAACTGAATCACAGTGAATTGTAGCAAATCGTTGTGAATTGTGATGAATGATAGTGAACCACAATTGAATCGTTTTGGTAGAAACTCATATTGAATTGTAGGAATTGAATGTTGAATCGTAAGATTTTAACAACCATGATTCCAGGTTAGTGATAAAACCATCGTATGTGAAAACTTTCCAAAATAGTGAAAAATCAGTAATATGGCAATAAATAAGTGCGGCTTCTTGTTGTTCCAAATGCCTAGTTAATGTACACAATGTAACATCAAACTACTGACGAGATAATATATTATTATCCACAGGTTTTTGCAGAAAGTTGATTAGGGAGATACAGTACACTTCAAGTGTAACTATGATCTGGTTAGGGATTAAGTGTTGGGTAAAATGTGGAAGGGAACGAGCAGCATGGAAAAGAAAATTAACAAGAAATCTATAGATAGACAATCACCTCTAAGGCTTTGAGAAGGTCTTCCCTGGTATGAGAAGCAGAAATGCAAATGCGTGCCCTAGCCAACAATAGAGGGGTAGCTGGAAACGCAACTGTCACAACAGCCACCTGCAACCACAAAATCTGAAGTTAATAAGCCATAATAAAAGCAAAAAAAAATTCGAAGACTTAGAAGTGTTTTAATGGCCGTCACTTTTGCCATGGCACATAATGGCTTTTGCCAGAGCAATGTGCAACCACCTAAAGCATTGAATGGTTGTACTCTGCTCCAGCAAAGATCACTTGTGCCTGGAAACAGCAGCAGCCTGTGGTTTCCAGTCAACTTCACAATTCGTGATAGAACCATGGCTAATCGAAATAAACTTACATTCTGTTTCAGACACTCTCGTGAAAAAGCAGGGATTTTTGCTGGATTGTAGAGCATTATAGGCATTACAGGAGAATCATTGTCTCCTAGGACCTCAAAGCCCATCTTCTGTAGTTCTGACCTGAAAAAATTGCTGTTTTCCCGTATCCGTGCAAGTTTCTGAGCCCCTGTTAACACACAAAGTGGCTCAAGCTCTCAGTAAATAATTTTGGCATCGGATTCTGATTCACTGCACAGAGTAAGCCAAAAAAATTGAGCAATGGAAATGGAGAGAATTCTTCACACCTCTACTAGAACCATCCTCCCCAAGCAGAACCTTAATGGCAGAAATAATTTGTTCTGCAGCTGGAGGTGATATTGATGTGGCATAGAGATGAGCAGGACAAGTGTACTTCAAATATTGAATAAGATCCTGAAAAGAGAGACAAGAAACATTTAACCACTGCAATTGCAAAACAGAAACCCATTACGCACTTCATACAAAATTCTAGTTGACAGATAATAGCAGGCAATCCCAGTGCATGAGGCTCCCGCCACTGCAGGGCCTGGGGAAGGCGAGATGTACGCAACCTTTCCCTCGTGTGCGCGGAGAGGCTGTTGGTTTGAACCCCGTGATGCACAGGTCGCAATGGAGCAACCTTAAGGCTGATAAGGAAAATAATTCTCATTGATGCAGCACAACTATCACTTGTATCGCTTGCTATAGTACCATGGACATCAGAATAAACGTTGATTAAGTGAATGTTACAAGAATAATGCAAGAACAGACATGCACTATTGAATGACGCTTGACTTCTGAAGGTGAAGCTGAGTTGGATGGATTTTTTCTGATATTTTTACAGAATATTTAACCTGGCAAAGGGCACAATCATTTCACTGAGCCGACAAAGGCACATCCATCAGTAATTCTTACACAAGGACTGTCAAGTTCAGGAAAAATCCAAATGGAAAAAAAGGTACTATTACCCTTTGAAATCAAGAGCATGGTTAACATTTTTAAAGATTAGGATCGTATTCTACGGTTGTGATTCTACCATATATATGTATAGATATATATTATTCCATCAAAAATCAATTTTACTGCTCCCAGAACCAAGTAATTAGGAAAGATGAACCAAATGCATTCAGACTGTTAATAGAATATAAAGTTGGGCAGGTTAGAAAAAATGAGGTTAATAATCAAGATACAACAAGACATTGGCACTTCAAAGATTGTTGGACAGCCTTTCTCTTACAAATATCGGCCTTGTCTTTCTCTTTTTAACTTGGGTTTTCATATCATAGTTTTTGGTTTCTACTAATAGCATTTCCACCATTTAAAATATAACAACTGGATAAAATTTGTAAAATTACGAACAACTTAATGAGGTTACATAGAAACATCAAAATCTCATACATTTAAATTCCAAATTCAGCTCAATAATCAGCTTCTCAACTAAAAGATTAAAAAATGGGGCAGTAATTGCCTTCATTTTACTTCAATTTAATGCCTGGAAAAAAAAAAGAAAAAAAAAATAGTGATGTGTAAATAAAAATACTGGTAAAAGATGATGACTTGTGTTCCACAGATGCTCTAAATTTTTCTTCTATTAAGCACAATCTATAAGTAGACCTCAGGAAGGGTGCATAAGAAACAAACCTTAGATCCTGCAATATAACCACCGCATGATCCAAATGATTTTGTGAAAGTTCCCATCATAATATCCACATCAGCTGTATCCACTCCTAAAAGCTCACAGACACCCCTTCCTGTTTTCCCAACTGCTCCAATGCTGTGAGCCTCATCCAAATAAATATATGCCTACAACAGATAAATAATTCTAAAGATGACAAACATATATATCTATGCATGTGCATATATATTATAGAACTAATCAAGGTCCTTGGCTCAAAAGCATCTGATAAGTAATGTGAAGAACCAAAGGAACAGCAGAAGCACCACAAGTTTCCTGCCATAAAGATGCAGAATGAGATGCATAATTTTTTTAATTATTTTCTTTAAATGGAGAAAAGAAAAGTCATCATCGCATGAGAATGGAAAACCAGAAATCAAAATAAAGTAATATTTTATATCTTCAGCTTGTAATGCCCGGAAACTTTTATCTATTGGGAGACATAAAAATAAAATGGGAAAAAAATAAAGATAAGAAACGAAAAATCTCAAAAACAACGCCATCAAAATTCCATATTATACCTCATACCAATACCACAAAATTATTTTATTCATTAAGGTTAAATATCAAGAATAAAATAAAGTTTTATACAACTGCAAGGTGATGGTGTGACTTCGAGTGATGAGATAATTTTCCAAGAAAAGATATCATAATTTATTAAGCATTAGAACCCTAAACTTATGTATGCCCAGAAAAAAAAAATTCTAATTCTAAAACGTCAGAAGACTCATAATCAGTATATGATATATGAAATGTAAGCATAAAAAAGACACCACCTAGTGGATGTGCACCTTATATTTCTTGCAAATGGCAACAATCTCTGGAAGTTTGCAGAGTTCACCCTCCATGCTGTATATCCCCTCCACAACAACAATTATCTTCTTCCATGGTCTATGTGTTCTGGGTTGTCCATCAGCAATTTGTTCTCTTAAAACTCTCTCCAAGTGGGATGGTGCTAAAAGAAAGACAGTAAACAAATTATGTGCATGAGATCACTCATGTAAATAATAGTCCTGTTTGGTGTAACTGTTAAAACAGATTATAAATTATAGCTTAACAAATTATAGATTATGACTTTAATCAGAAGCTGTTAATCTGTTTGGTATTACTGTTAAATTATAGATTTAAGTTGCTGAGTAGTGTTTGTTAAATAAGCTGTGAAGTAATTTTTTCAATTAACTTTTATTTTTTATTATTCACTATTTGTTTACATTTCTTATAAAAAATAATAACAATATTTTATAGTCCATTTGGGTCTTTTTCTATTTCTAAAAAAATAAAAAATAAAAAAATCTAAGAGTATAACCATGAATTAACATGTCCACAGCAGAAGCTGATAATCAAAAGTAAGGGATGAGCAACTTCTCAGAATCAACTTTCTTGACTTAAAATAAGTTGTTAGAATCAGAAGATGTTTGAAATAAGTTTAACCAAATAGTTCAAAATAACTTTTTAAAAGCCAGAAGTCATAAGTTGGCTAAAAAAAGCCCCACCAAACACCTCCAATATTACATAGGATCTGCTCAGAAGAACATAAAGGACCCTACACAATCTTACTGTTATGTTGGAAAACCCGAATGGTGGCTCCTGATCCACGAGCACCGTTGACAATGGAGTTGTGGTTCAGAGAGTCACTGATAATTAACCCTCCCTGTACATGACCGCAATGAGTCAACAAATGAAAATTCAATGCTATAAGATACATTGGTTCCATAACTCACAGATGAACCTTATGGAAGTGTCAGTGCATACCTTTCCAACCAAGACAGGAAGGATGGCAGAGTTTGTCACGTAGCCCATGCCAAAGACTATGGCTGCTGGCTTTCCAACAAAGCTTGCAACATACTCCTCCAGTTTGGTATGTAATGTTGTGGTGCCTGGTTGCATGATGGCATTAGTGGAGACCAAGCTAGATACACAAAACTATTATGCAAGATTGTATGCCTACCTCCATCAACACGGGAACTACACGTGCTCGGAGAAAACCTCTTCAAAGCCCCAATCGCACGGGGTGTACAGTATTCATCTGCAGCAGCAAATCCAAGGTAATTGTATGATCCCAAGTTAAGACACCTACTTATCTTTGTGGTTCGCCTGCATGAGATGCAACCAAATTGATCAACCAAACAAGTTTCAAATTCACTCACTAGTTTAGAAGCCCTGTACTAAGATTCAATGAATACTATGCCATTTACTATTAGATACCCAAACTCACTTGCACAGCATAAGGAAAAACAAAATATAAAGAAGAAAGGAAACCAGCATACGAGCAAATAGAACCAAATATGAAGTATAACTACAAACATCTAGCGCATAAGCTAAAACTCACTTTAAGGTCTTGTTATTGTCATTTGAGACACGCTCAATCACATCAAACCATGCATCAGGAGCACTTGATATTGGTCGGTTAAAACAGTCCTGCATATGCATTGATATAAGAATATTAAATACAAAATAGAGTTTCTCAATTATGCACACGATAATTCAAATAAGTGGACATTAAAATTTTAAAAGCTTCGGATTTGATAGAAATGTTTAGGAGATTGATGAGACTAAAGCTTTGTTAATAAAATTGGAAATGATTGTACAAATCATTAACTATTGAAGCCTTATTTGGTGGGAGAAATATCATTTTAGAATTTGAACAACTTCAACCATACAACTAACCGCTCATTTTTCTAACTATTTTGAACAAACTACACCCTGCAACCAATTTGATGGGTTTTGAGTGGTATGATTTAGGTTGTTCAAATTGTAAAAATTACTTTTTTTTCCTATTAAGTTAGGCTTTCACCATCACTGATTTGGACGCATGTTTCCAATTGGATCATATGAACTGAAATCTAAAACTGTAGGGTGATTATGACAGGTGTTTCCAATGGAATCATATGGACTAAAATCTAGAACTACAGACCAAATAGATAAAATTGATAGTTTTGAGATAAAAAAAAAGAAATTAATCCAACTGGTAATGGCAGCGTAACCCGATCAGAATTCAATCAATAGGTCAATAAAACAACATATACATAGACAAATATGAATCAATATTGGGTAAATTAACCTGAATACGAAGATACAGCCGCCTAAGGTAGAAATCCTCGAGCCCTAAGCAGATCGGCGCATAACCCTAATAGCAAACACAGAATTGAAGTCGAATCACAGAATGAATCCCAAAAAATTGAGACATCCATACATACATACAGACCTGAAGATTGCTGGCCTTACACCAATCGATGATTTTACGGAAGAAGTCGCGGAATTGGCCGAAGGCAAAGAGGAGACCGTAGCTGAAGAGAGTGGTCAAGGCGGTCAAGTATGGAATTGTAATCATTGTGGATTGGCGGAGATTGAGAAGCGAGGTTTTTCTTGTGATGGAGGAGGATGAACAGATCTGATCTTGGAGGAGGAGGGGACTCAGAGTCGGCGGAGAGAGAGAGAGAGAGAAATGGAAGGAAGGAAGGAGGGAGGTAGAGGATTGGGTTTGACCCACCAAACCAATCCTCTGATTTCGGCTGAATTTTCAGTTTTTTGAAATTTCTTTTTCGATCCAGAAGAATGATTTTGTTGGTGTCGGAAATTTCTTGTTTAAAAATTGCTAACCAGGCTGTGGGGCCCCTTGCATGGAGAAATAAGATCCAGTCATCACGTATTTACGTTCTTGACCAATTATTCAATATAAAATTGAAAAATGTATCGTAACTTAAATTTTGTGGTTCAAAAGTGACTCATTTAAAACGACGTCGTTTTGGCCATTTAAATCACTTTTGAGTCACAAAATTTGAGTTACGTAACATTATCGTATAAAATTAGAGGCCTTACTTTTTTATTATAAAAAAAATAATAATAATTATAATTTAAATATTACATTTTACCTTATTAAAATTTTAATTTATTTTTTCCTTTTTATAATTAAAATAACTCCAAATCAACGTGCCAATGAGCACCGGATTTCAAGACCACCAAATCACTTTTCACTTGCTTGGGAAGTTTGGATTTGCTGAAGATTTTAATTTTACACTAAAATTGATTTATTAGCGGATTAACTTGAACTTATCTCGGTAATTTTAGAAAATTATCGTATTTTTATCACATTTGTTTTTTAAAAAAATCAAATATTTTTAAAAATAAATTATTTATTTTTTTAGAGACAAATACAATAAAATGAAAAAGGTTACGTAATCAAATTGATTTAATTTTTTTTATTAGTGATATCTATTATCTTACAAAATGAGCGGTTTAAATTATTAAAATATAACATATGATGAACCCACGGACTCATCAAATTCTTTCATATTAAGATATAAACATAAGAGACACCAAACCACTTTTAATAAAATGTATAAAAAAAAAAATGATTGATCGAATCCATGGAACGAATGACTGGCCAGACGACCTCACGGATGATCGGTGTGACAATCGGCATGCACAAATTCAAACAATTCAGATGAGTCCAAATTCAGTTGATGTAGCATCACTATATAAAAAATTATAATTTTTTTGGGTAAAAATTATAATTTTTTTGGGTAAAAATTATATATTTTATAAAAATTATATATTTTTTGTGATTAACAAAAAGCTACTTTTTGTAGTGAGAAAGCTTGTTCCAATTTGTGATAAAAGTCACATATTTTGTGGCATTGTTCTAAAATGCATGTGGTAATATTTTGTTGAAAATAATTGCAACAAAGCTTGAAAACTTAAAAAATATTTATAAAAGCATGTTGAAATTTACATTTTTGAGATCTTTAGGCTAAATAACAAATGAGATATTATTTCAATGGCTTTCAAAGAAGAAAAAAAATGAGACCCTCACCCATAAGAATATTTTAAAATTTTATTAGAGGGCTTTAGATTATGGAAAATGCTTTGATGTGCAATTCACACCGTATGAGACTCTAACACAAAATTATATAAATTTTCACGAATTTATATAAGTGATTTCACAAAAACGCGAATTCAATATAAATTTGCAAAAATTCGTGAAAACTTACGAATTGTGCAAATTTTGTGTTCAACTTGCATAATTTTGTGATAGAGTTTTTCCCTTTCCGTTCAACCGCTAGCCACCCCTCCCCCATCCTTTCTAGTGGCTGCCAACCTCAACTTTGCCTCCCTCAATCCTCTCCCTAATCTCTCAACACCCTCTTTCCAAACCCATCCCCCTTTTTCCCATTGCCATGCCCCCATCCTACCCCTCCTCACCGTCGCAACCACCATCAATACTAGATACATGTTTATTTCACATTGTGGTATTACTAATTTAGTTGTTATCCATTAATCAATTTATTCACGAAACATTGGTGAAGAAATTTAATTTGAATTCAATTAAATCATAATTCAATAACATGTATCTAAAAACACAATAACCAGCACAAGGAAAAACTATATTGGGTAAAAGGCATAATTTTTTGCATTCGATAAAAATTTACTCCCTTGCTCACCTTTCAATTATGAGTATACAAGTAGGCAATAAAGTTATCCCCGTTGATTGATCTAGAAACAAAATGGGAAGAACATATTTTACTCCTTTGAGTTGCATGTCATTATCTTTTTTTAAAAAAAATTGTTACTAGGGTGTTCAGAGTTTCATTTTGACTAATTCCCAGGTATGTACGATTATATCTCATAATTATTGGGACTAAACCCATGGGTCCTCCTCGTCATTCATCTTTTCTAGTCATTTTTAATTTATTTCTCCTTCAGTTCCGTCTTCCCATCCTTCCATAAATTCGTGCTGTTCTGGAAAATCCAGCTTTTCCCCTGGACATGCCGGGATAGGCTTCATAGCTTTGAGGCACCATCGATTGTCACCCTAAATTAAAAAGATTATTTAAAAGAGAGAAGAAAAAAAAAAACAGAAAATCAACATACTTCTATCCCAAAGTTTTCATGCAAAATTCAAAATGTTCTGCCACTACTACAATCTGATTCAGAAACAAAAACACCTTCCAACCTGAAGTTAAATTTTAAGCAACAAAATTTCTTTTGAAAGGTGTATCCTGTGTTTAAAAGCCTACTCAAGACTATCAGAGCCGCATTCTTGCTTTGCTGAAAACACAAAACCAAACAGACCAACTTCCCAGTTGGCTTTGCAACTGCAATGCTCATCAGCTTTTCTTGCTTCCCTTTGCATCATTTGATTTCGATGGAGAAGCAATAAGGTGACCGGACAAAACAACAATGCAGATGACTGAAATTAGGGAGCCATACTCAGCGAAAAACCTCTGCACAAAAGCACGAGGTTATTGCATACATCATTTTAATTCCAAAAGAAATTATCCTCAAACTCGGCAAAATACACACTATGCTTAATATTCCCACCATGAACATGCGCGAACAGTGTTCATTGGATTTCAACAAACAAGTTTCTCATATGATTAAAATGAGAAGGGTCACTTTTTACTCCTATAATTTGACTCAAATTTCACTTTTGTCCCTACACTTGAAGTTCAATTTAAATTTGATCATTCCATCCAAATTTCTCTTGATTTTTTCTACGTGTACACGTCAAGAGATTGACAAGTGTCCCAAAATTATTGATTTTAACCTCCAGCTTGAATAGAATGACCAAATTGAAATTAGACTTAAAAAGTGTATGGACCAAATTGTTTAATTTAAAACAATAAGAACTAAAGTGAAATTTGAATCAAAACATAGAGGTTAAAAGTGTAATTTACCCAGGTGAGAATCACAAACAAGCCCCTAAACAGAGGAAGGAGAAACAAGCTCATTTGAAAGTTTCTTTAATTACCATGGAAAAGATCAACCCATGTTCTATATTCTAACGGAAGATGTTACATAGACGTTGGGTTTGCAAGTAATACAAGAAATTAAAACAATGATAGGCAATGTTCTTACCTTCACCTAATAGCATTCAGCCGCCATGAGGTGCTTTCATTGGAAAAACAAACAAAAGTTGTCCAGTCAACACAGAAGAAAAAGAAAAAGAAAAAGAACAAAAGGAGCAAAAAGTCAAACAAAATCACATGTAACATGTTACCAATGAAAGAAAAGAGAAAAAAGCAATATGTTCACATTGATGAAGAAGAGGTTACCAATTCTAACTTCTTTGCTGGGATTCTATCAGCAAGGATATCCAGTGGTAGGATTGGAGTTGGATATGCGTCCAAGAAATAGACAACAAACAAACAAACAAGTCAAAGATAGAGACATGACATTCTAAAAAATTAACCCATCGGACACGTTTTGAAATATCAAACCTGTAGTTTGGACTTCATGGGGATTCGGAATGTGATGGCAGCAGGGGTGCCATAATACATGGCTTTCACTCTGGACACCAACTCAAAAGAGTGGGAAACAAGAGAACCACTGTCAATTATACCAAAATCAGAAGAAAACATAAGTGCAAAAGAAAGGAAAAAGAATAAAATAAAATCTTAAAAGGTTAGGCGTAATGTTAAAGCTTACGCAACAAGTCTTTCCCATGTTTTGGTAGTGTTGCCACCAACAAGCTCAAAGACTTCTTGGGCCCAGCTATTATCAGTAAAATTGACATCATATGCAGCACTGAAAGAAGTACATTAAAAAACACAATTTTTTTTTGGATAAGCAAGTCATATTATAACCAAAAAAGAAAGATATACAATGAAATTCAATACACATCTTTTGTAGGGAGAATAAACATAAACAAAAACAAACTACTCCCTCAAAAGAAACAAACTAAGCCTATAGACGACAAACACAACATACACAACAAAGGATTCAAAATTTCTCTCTAGCACTCTTCAAGTAATGAAGTTTCGCTTTGAGTTTTCTTCTGTTATCCTCCTTTGTAATCTCCCCATTAATGGGATCACTTGGAGATGGACTCCCTCTACTTTTTAGGCTCTTCGTTTGACACAACAACTCTTGATTTAATTCTCCATTCCCCAACTCTCCCATATCACATGATTCAAGGACATCAAAAGTATTAGATGTTGATGGAGTGAAATGCTGCATCACTGTCGTTGAACCTTGCCCATCATCTCTCCCTTTTTTCTTCACCACTTCCCACTTAGTTGGAACTTGTATGTTAGTCTCCTTGACTCTCCACTCTTGTTTGGAAGATGGCGGGTTCAAAGTCTTTGGCTTCTGAGGGCATAAATTAGTGGTATGACCAAAAGTCTTACAAACATCACACCTTTGAGGCTTCCATGGAACCTCAACTTGAATCTCATATGGGTCACCATAACCAAGATTTATTTTGAAAGACTCAGGGACCTCTTTATTTGCTGGCACCTCAATACATATTCTTGCAAACGTAAGTCTGCTTCTCTTGAACGTAGGCTCATCCAAATAAAGAGAAGTTCCCATGATGCTAGCAATGTAACCCAAACCTTCTTCAGTCCAAAGCTCCAAAGGAACATTATACAACTTCACCCACAACGGCACACTCGAAAATTCACACTTTGTTAGTTTTAGTCCAGATTGCCATTTTTTAACAACAATCTAGCCCCAACATAAAAGGGGCCATCTTCCAAAATTTTGTCTATAGCCTCTTCACCTTTTACTTTAAAAATAAAAAACCCATTATCAATGGAGACAACATCTTCAAGCAAATTTCCCTAAAGTTTCTCTGCCCAAGTTTTCACATAATGGAAAGAGAATCTTTTATCAATGAAGTATCCAACCAAGGCATTTTCCCAATGAGAAAAGCCTTTTTTTGAGATCTCTATAGGGACATTGTACATGCCATCTACTAGGTTTTCAATCTTATGGGCACCTATTTTATACTTCATTTTTGACAACGTGTTAATCTCTTCTTTAAGTAAAGAGCTCCAAGCTTGTAGAGGCTTACCTGATATAGCAGTTGTATCACCATCAACACATTCACTCTTGCCAGATTGTGTGTCTTCCATATGTAGTTCAACCAAATCCTCATTTCTACAAGCTTGCACATTTTCAACACTCTTATGTTGCTTGGTGCCAATTACTTCTCTCCTTTGATCAACACTAGGTGAGCCAAGTTTATTTGTCATCAAGGACATCAAAAGTATTAGATGTTGATGGAGTGAAACGCTGCGTCTCTCCCTCTTTGTTTATCACTGTCGTTGAACCTTGCCCATCATTTCTCCCTTTTTTCTTCACCACTTCCCACTTAGTTGGAACTTGTATGTTAGTCTCCTTGACTCTCCACTCTTGTTTGGAAGATGGCGGGTTCAAAGTCTTTGGCTTCTGAGGGCATAAATTAATGGTATGACCAAAAGTCTTACAAACATCACACCTTTGAGGCTTCCATGAAACCTCAACTTGAATCTCATATGGGTCACCATAACCAAGATTTATTTTGAAAGACTCAGGGACCTCTTTATTTGCTGGCACTTCAATACATATTCTCGCAAACGTAAGTCTGCTTCTCTTGAACGTAGGCTCATCCAAATAAAGAGAAGTTCCCATGATGCTAGCAATGTAACCCAAACCTTCTTCAGTCCAAAGCTCCAAAGGAACATTATACAACTTCACCCACAACGGCACACTCGAAAATTCACACTTTGTTAGTTTTAGTCCAGATTGCCATTTTTTAACAACAATCTAGCCCCAACGTAAAAGGGGCCATCTTCCAAAATTTTGTCTATAGCCTCTTCACCTTTTACTTTAAAAATAAAAAACCCATTATCAATGGAGACAACATCTTCAAGCAAATTTCCCTAAAGTTTCTCTGCCCAAGTTTTCACATAATGGAAAGAGAATCTTTTATCAATGAAGTATCCAACCAAGGCATTTTCCCAATGAGAAAAGCCTTTTTTTGAGATCTCTATAGGGACATTGTACATGCCATCTACTAGGTTTTCAATCTTATGGGCACCTATTTGACAACTTGTTAATCTCTTCTTTAAGTAAAGAGCTCCAAGCTTGTAGAGGCTTACCTGATATAGCAGTTGTATCACCATCAAGACATTCACTCTTGCCAGATTGTGTGTCTTCCATATGTAGTTCAACCAAATCCTCATTTCTACAAGCTTGCACATTTTCAACACTCTTATGTTGCTTGGTGCCAATTACTTCTCTCCTTTGATCAACACTAGGTGAGCCAAGTTTATTTGTCATTATCATTTCATTTGCCGCCAGTGGGGAAACAATGGCCAATTTTGGCCACTGCTCAAGATCAATTAGGACTCTAGTTGGTGTGTTCCATGCATTAGGTGTTTGATGCTGCTTTGATGATTGCTCAGTTGAAGCTTGCATTTCCACATTCAATTGCAACCGTGGTATACCAAGATTTCCACACAAACATAGATCGACACAATCACACTCAATTGAGCTATCCTCCGATTCCACATCCCTTAAACCCCTTTTGTTTTCATTCGAGGGCCCTTGCCATGGTCCCACAAAATCTCCAGATATGAGAAATTTGGGGGCTCCTCGAATGCATGTAGACCTGCGGGAGAGTACAGCAGGCATCTCATCGATAGATATTTGAACATCCACCTGATTATCAAACTCTTGCAAGGAGACCTCGGTTGATTTGCACTTAACAAATTTACATTTTGATTTACTCTTCGCTAATTTACTCTTAGCTTGTTTGCCCTTCTTCATTGATAGCTTGCTGCCCTCTCTGCCTCTCTCTTTGTCCCTCTGTCTCTCTCTCTCTTTCTCCTTAATCATCTTATCACTTCTCAGTAGCAGAGTTCACTGAGGCATTTTGTCGAACAGATGGACGGCAAAAAGCTAGAGAGCTGTTCTTTTTCTAGGGCTAAACCTGAACGAACTGGAAGATGGAAGGAGTGGAGAGGAAGCGAGTAGAGAGGTTTCCGCAGACGAAGGTAGGATTCCGAAAACCGATGCCCGTCGATTCTCCGGAATGTTGTCCGCCTTACGGAAACAGTGCTGAAGTTTTGGATTGCTTCAGCTACGGAGACCTCTTCAATGGTAGCTTTTTCTTTCTTTCTAATCTCTCAGGCTCCCTCTATTCAGAATCTTGTTCTTTGTTCTATCGAAACAGCTCCACTGTCTAACAGAGCCTTCTTCTCTGCGCCCCTTGGCTTTCACAATTTAAAAAAAAAAAACACAATTATTCACAATTCAAGTAACATTATCGTTACGAATGTGTTCTTTCACATTTTTGTGGGGCACAAACAATCTAGCTGATAACAACAAGTCAACATGTGCAGGTTAGAAAAGATAACCATAGAAAAAAAATATTACCACTAAATTACGTATAGGAAAAAAGAAAGCAACAAATGCATCCCCAGAATTCATGTGTGGAAACGACAATATCCATGTGAGAGAGATTTTCATTCGAAGCAATTGAAGCTAAAACTGTTCTAAGCTAGTTTTTTGGGGCCATTCATGTGACTAAGCCAGTCTACTGACTCCCGGAGTAAAACACCTTGGTACATAGGAAAACATATATTCATTCAAATTTAAAACTGTAAGCGTTTTTTGAAGAACAAAATAATTATTAAAAAAAACCTAAAGGCCTTAGTAGTACTTTCTGAAAATTGCAACATTAAGAGAGGTTGGATCTACATTGACAGTAATCATCCAAAATACTAAATAATTGCTTAAAGTTGCCCATTGGACAACAAAGTTGCACAATTAGAACAAAAACAACTTTAAGAATAACTACAAACATAAGGATGCACATCAGGTCACACCCCAGCCAACTCACAAGGATGAACATCAAGCTACACTATGATTTATCTTTAAATTCAAAAGAACAAAAGATTTTACTACTTGTGGTTTAGGCGGTTCGAGTTCCATGTCGTTTAGTTTTTGCAGCAACAAAATATTAACACAACCTTGAATTGGTTTTCTTCTTTGGACTAGTTATACTGATAGTTGTTGCCCATAGTGTCATTTTGGTTCATACATTTTCAATTAGTTTGATTTTGACCCTTAATTTTGAATTTTGTGTCAATTTTTTAGCAGCCCGGGTTAAGACCCGAAGCTTTTATAATCTTTGATTCGGGATCCGGTTCTCATTGTTGTTGTTTATACTTTTTTTAGTCTTGTTGCTTATTGGGATTGGTTGTTTGAATTGTTGGGTTATGTTCGAACAGGTTGGAAGTTAGTATTTCAAAGGAAATTCCATCAGTTTATTCTTTAGTTCACTCGAGCGGTCTTTCATTAAGTGTTTGCAATCAGAACTTTTGGGAGTATTGTGTTCTTCGCTCAAGCGGTCTCTTTGCAGGTCTAAACTTTTGAAAGGGAGTCATTCTTCGCTCGAGCAATGGTTAGTTCACTCGAACGGTAGTTAGTTTGCTCGAGCGATCTGTTCTGCAGGGTTGTTGTGCTGGGAGTTTGGTTTCTTCGCTCGAGCAATGATTTGGTTACTCGAGCGGTGTTCTATGTCTGACGCTCAAGCGGTGTTTGGTCGCTCGAGCTGTCTGGACATATAAAGCTGCAGGGAAAAGATGTGTTTTTTTATCACTTTTCCGATCTCTCTCTCGCTCTAAAAGGGCTCTAGACCCAATTTTTCTCCTTTCTCTCTCTAGTTCTTGTATAAACCTCACTACACATGCAAATCCGCTAGTCTCGCCGCCGCTGTGCTTTGAGATAAAGTGTAGATCTCGTTGCAGTGAATGTTTTAATCCGAAAAGTTCAAGCTTTGGCCTCCGTTGATTTTGGATTCATTCTTTTTCTCTCTTCCTACTTTAAGGTAGGGATTCCTTTAACATCTTGTTGGAATGTGTCCCACATCGCCTGGAATTGTCCACCTGTGCTAATTATAAGGCTCTAGTTTCTCTCTCCTTAAGACTTGGGTTTTAAGGAGAAGTGTGAGTTGAGCTTTTCAATTTGGTATCAGAGCCTCCCTTGCCTTCTCTCTCTCAGCCACCCATCACCACCGACTACCTTCTTTCTTCTCTTTAGCCTCCGACAACCCTTTCCAACACCTTTTCTCCCTTCGACAGCCTCAACCCAGCCTCTGCAGCCCCTTTCCTTCCTTGTCTTCACCTCGGCAGACCTTCTTTATCCCTGCCGAGGATCTTGTTGCTGCTGACCTAACTTGGTTCTGGTCTTACGTGCTTCGACTGCCTCTTTAGGTGGTCCGTGGCTGTTTTTTTCCCCTCTTAGGGTGATTAGACTAATGTATTAAGTCCCTTTGTCTATCCTTTTATTCTTTTAGGCTACTGGGTTTATTCGGCAGCATCTATTTGGATAAGTCATTGAGTTTTTTTCCGGCTTCTTATTTTTTCTTGGACTGTGTTACTATCTTTGTATGTTTTTCAGCCCCTCTTCTCCTACCATGACTGATCCATCCTTTGTTGATATACCCACCAAGCCAAATAATTCTTTCCATTCTTTTTTGTATCAAAGCTTGGTTAGGCCTGTGATTGATATGCTGTTTGTCCGACTACTGTATGTTGTGGTTCAGGAGGGTGTGTTGAAATGTATCCCACATCACCTGAAATTACCCTATCTGTGCTGGTTATAAGGCTCCAGTTTCTTTCTCTCCTTAAAACCTAGGTTTTAAGAAGAAGTGTGGGTTGGGCTTTTCAATTAATCTTTGTATGATTTTTAGCTTTATTATGTGCCCTTGAATAGAGGAATGTTTTGGGGTTTGATTTGGATTTATTTGGGTTGGTTTTTGGAGTATAAAAGAGGGGTTTTCAAATAGATTCATGGAAAATGTTGTGGATATGGTTGTATTGATGATTAAAGAAGAAATCTTGAAAATCTTTCTTTTAAATGAATTTTTGAACGAAAAAGATATTTTATTGGAAATCTTTGGAAATCATTGATTTTGCGAAAGAGGTAAATGATGGGGATATGTTGGACCCTTACTGAGTTAGAAAAGGGAGTGAAACATGTATTGTTACTCCTAAATTGAAATTTCTATCTGTTGGTTACAATTTATTTTTTGTATAAAGATATCTGTTTTGGGTTATTGGTGGAGGGTAGCTTTGATTATTGTAAAAATTGCATAAGGATTAGGTTAATTAAAACTATTTATTCATACATCTTGTATTTGAACATCGTTTCATACTTGTATATTTAAAATGTATCGTTTTGAGAAAAATGAGTGAATACCTTGGTGAATCTGGTTAGGGGGGTGGTTGTGGTTATATCTATGTTGGCCTATGTGTCCTTAGTGGAAGTCCAGAAACCCGCACGGTTAGGTGTCGATCCTTTCGATTAGTACTGGTAAAATGACTTTGGTAGTGCTTGTATAGCCTACAGGCAGACACATACTTAGAGATTCCCAGTATTGTGTATCCATTGCCCTATTTTCTGTTTTAAAAAGTAATGATTTATTAATTGGATTATAAACATGGCTTTACATTGTTTGAGAAGGAAAAATATGTTCTTTGGGTAAATGGCATTTGCATTCATCATATGGCCGTGTTAAGCATCATACAGTATGTCAAATAAATCTCTATTAGGATTTAGCTCACCCTATGTAGAAACAAATTTTCAACTGCTGATGACATGCCTCCGCTAAGAAATTAGCTTAGGAGGATCTTGGAGCTGAAGGCTCCTTACATTTTTGCGTTGTAAATATCTGATGTACAAGCTTAGGGCTTTTAACTGTATTGGGCTTGACCTACTTACGTTATAACCAAGCATCGTCTTGGAAATCTGTAACCATTAAGGCATGAGCTTATTTGTATTTCTTTTTATTTTCATGTACTGATATATGTCACATTCTATAAATTCAAGATCTAAGATTATGAATATATAAATGCATGTGGCATCTTTTGTAATGTTTTCAAGAGAACCAATGAAAGATTGAAACCTTATTAGCTTCCGCATATCTGGTGTGTATTATGACAATATCTATTGTTATAATTTAGGGGCGTCACAAATTTGATCCAATTGATAATGCCGGTTAGAGTTTTTGATGGAAAATTGTCACTGTTGGTTGAGGTTAACTCATTGTATTATGCAAGTTTACAATTTTGCCCTAATGGCATGACACATGCCACTCGTGTGCGTATTTTCTATCAATAAATTTTTTTTTGACAATTATAATCAATCATACCAAATTGAGACAAAATCATAAATTTAAGATCACAATCAAGCCAATTGAAATTACAGATACAAAAATGACACAAGAGCTAAAGTATAGGGACTACCGGTGTAATTTGCTCTTTTTCTAATGTATATATTATATTTTGCACTAAAGGTGTAAGCAAGGAAAAATCAATTGAATGTCATTGTCTAGACTCTTGAGTCACTGTCCTTTCAAATATGTGGGATTAGTTGTTCTACGAGAATCATGTACTGCCATTTCACCAATGCCCCTTTTCTCCTTCTGTTAAAATTCTGACCAACACGTCTTTTCTCAAAACCTCAAATGCACAAACATTTTTTTATCCTCGGCTCATCTAGGTACAACCTTTAACTTTTGCATACGACCAAACCAGCTCAACCTATCTTGACTAACCTTATCACCAATTACAAACACCCCTATATTCTAAAAGAACAAAATCACTTCTAGGGAATTCCTTGTTTTGCCACCTATCCATATCAACATCCTTATTTCACAAGGATTCACCTCATATACATTTCTCTTGAAATTTTATTTGAAAGTAGGTAGAAAAGCTCTAGCTCAAACAATTCACATTCTTCACAAAACAAATACCGATAAGCTCCCCTCAGTAGGATCAAACTTATAGTGAAGATAATTATGAAATCTTAAAGGGTTACACCCAATTTAGTCTACATTGGATGGGGTTTCCCATGGGGTTTGGAAGGCAATAAATTGGGTACCAATGACATTATTTGCACAAAGTAGCTACCCTCAAGTTCAAACCCACAACCTCAAACTTAATAGGCCAAATTTTAACCACTGAACTAAACCAGTGACCCCTTGGTAAATTTGTTACAACATAATTCACCCCCACAAACCAAGACTATCCTATTATTGTAAATTTGTTGTGAATTGTGATTCAAAATAAGTCAATGCAATTCTTAAACTATCCTATAAACAAAGGTCAATTACAAATACACTCCCTGAAGTTATTTAAAATACAGATTGCCTCTGTAGTTTTGAAAATTACATTCCACCCTTTCAAGTTTCTAATCGCATAACAAATTACTCATTTTATTAATAAATTATCAAGTTAATTAATAGTTTTAATGATGTAAGATATATATTTCAATTAACAGGTAATTTTATTTGTATAGAAGAGCAATTAGAAATTTTATTTTTTCTATTAATTCTATTAAATAAAAAATTCTAACAATGGAGTATTTGTAATTTCCAAAACCACATGGAGCAAAACCAGGTGATGATATTGTCATGGCAGATGGTAGGATTGCGAGAAAAAGTGTTTGGCCGAAGCTAAAAAGAGGTTGACCCACTTCATTCGGTAAGCGAATGATGTTCACGGGGAGCAACAAAAAACCACCATCTCGCTTTTTTATTTTATTTTATTTGATTGATAATCATCTATGAAGCACGGGTACTCCAAAAATGGTGCCGTACTCGTACCGGGTACTTACCGGGTACTGGTACGCGTACCGGTACGGCTGCACGCGTACCGGATACGGAAAACAGTGTCTCGGTACGTTTGGGAGAACTGGTACGGCTTGGGTACGCCGGGGTACGGCAGAACTCAGCTGTTCCGAACACGGAAGAGAAGAAACAGAGAAGAGAGGAGAGAAGAGAGGAGTACCTGGTTTGAAGCTCCGACGGCTCCGACGACCTTCGATCGACGTCGACGACCTTCGATCGACCTTTGACGACCTCCGACGACCTTCGCCTTCTCTTTCTCTCTCTCTGTCTCACTTCGCCTATTTCTCTCCTCTCTCTTCGACTCTGTTTTTCTCTCAGAGCTTCTCCTCTCTCTTCGACTCTGTTTTTCTCTCAGAGCTATGACCTAGATATGGATATTATATATAGATATATATATATAGTATAAATTATAATTTATATTATATTATTATAACTTTTTATTTTTTTATTATATATTTTTATTTATGTTGTTATAAATTATACTTATATATAATATATATGTGTATGATATATTTTTATTTATATATTATATATATAGCCTTTATAAATTATTTAAAAAAATAGATCAAAAAAATTAATAAATTAGAACACAAAAATTAATAATCAATCATACTTATATAATGTTAATAATCAAAAAAATTAATTAGAACAAAATTATAAAAATTAATTAGAACAAAATTAATAATCAATCATACTTTTTAGTTTTGATATTTAATTTCAATTTGTAGGTTGGATCTTTTAACCATAATTATAAAAAATAAAAAAAAATAAAAAAATATCGGCGTACCGCAGCCGTACCCGTATCCTACTTTTTTGAGGTTTTGCCGTATCGGCGTACCCGCACTCGTACCCGAACCGTACTCGTACCCGCACCCGTGCTTCTTAATCATACAAAGCAGAAGATATTTCACTTGTTGACGCGGGCCATAGAATGATATATGTGGCACTTTGGTACATTGAGTGATTGGACACAGAATTATTTACCCTATTTTTGTCATGGCATGGGAAATCACAGCATGACAATCCGTATTTTAAACAATTGGCTGGATAGAAAGTCACAAAGCAGGAAAAGAAGCCCAAGACAAGCAAAATGAACCACACAACGCAAAAAATTGCAATGCAGCATATCATGAGCATATATAATTGACAAAATCATAGGCAAAACACACCATGCAAGATCAAATTGTACCCTATCCATCAAATTACAAAATTCAAAAAACATAATTACATACAACAATGTTGTAGAAATAGAGATTTGAAGAGAATTCTTACGCAGATCCACGGTTATAGATGTCGATGGAGACAGAGACATGTTCGGCCCCGGAATCGAGCTTTGTGAGAGTGGCCTTCTTGTGAGCGACTATGAATGGAGAGTCGGAGATTGCGAATGCTGCAGAAATGATGAACAGAGATGAAAGAGCGAAGATCATCAACAACTTCATTGGAATCGCCATGGCTGGTAACTGGTTCGTGATTGTCTCAGAGCTTTGTGTTTTGAGACTCGATTGGCCTGGATGGTGGACCGTGAACCCGCAATCTCACGAGGAGGGGCTTGACTCGTGTTCGGTTGATAAAAAATTTATTTAAGCCTTTTTATTAATTTTAGAGAATCCTTATTTTCATTCTACTTTACTCCAATCTATTAGTTACTTTTGTTAGATTGATTCCATTTTGTACAAAAAAAAATATATATTTTTTAAAAATTAAAATTTTAAAAGTATTAATGTAAGTAAGTATAATCAAAACAAATATATATATATATATATATTTAGAATAAAAGAGAGTGGGAATAGTAGCTCTCTAATTTCAAATATATTTTTGAATTCGTTAAAAAATTTAAATCAAATTTAAACAGTCAATTGTTGGTTCGGCTCCATTTAATAAGTTTACAATTATACCAAACTACTTATATTTAAGTTTGGCTCTAAAATTTAATGAACAAAGTTTGAACAAATTTTAATACTCGTCAATATTTTTAACTAAACTTGAACAATTAGGTAACGTTTGGTAACTTTTACGTTTTTAGTTTATATTTACAGAAATTTTATAAACTGGTTTTGGTTTATTTCTAGAAAAACATAAACTACAAACGCATTTGATTTGAACAAAATGTTTGAAAAATTTTAAAAACATAAAAAAATATATATATATTTGTTCATGCTAAAATATTTATATTTGTTTTTTATTATTTATGACAATGGGATGATACATATTATAATTGAAAACAAAAATTTGTTAGTCAAAATTTTAAATTTATGTTTAAAAATCAACGTAAACTCATTTTTTGAGTTTACGTTTTTTTCTCAAATTTACAAACTGAGACAATCATTTATAAATTAAAAAAATTATCAAACAAATTTTTATGACAATTTTAAAATTTTTATAAATATAAACTAAAAACGAAATAGTTAGCAAGGCCCATTATTTGGCTTACGTTTCATCAAAACTTTTAACTAAACTTGAACAATTAGGTAACGTTTGGTAACTTTTACGTTTTTAGTTTATATTTACAGAAATTTTATAAACTGATTTTGGTTTATTTCTAGAAAAACATAAACTACAAACGCGTTTGATTTGAACAAAATGTTTGAAAAATTTTAAAAACATAAAAAATATATATATTTGTTCATGCTAAAATATTTATATTTATTTTTTATTATTTATGACAATAGGATCATACATATTATAATTGAAAACAAAAATTTGTTAGTCAAAATTTTAAATTTATGTTTAAAAATCAACGTAAACTCATTTTTTGAGTTTACGTTTTTTTCTTAAATTTACAAACTGAGACAATCATTTATAAATTAAAAAAATTATCAAACAAATTTTTATGACAATTTTAAAATTTTTATAAATATAAACTAAAAACGAAATAGTTAGCAAGGCCCATTATTTGGCTTACGTTTGAGATCAAAGATCTTTTCTATTCTTCAAAATTGACGAAGTCTGCGTTTCCAGTTGTATGATTGTGTTATGAGATTTTTATGTGTTTTTTTTATTATATTGTGTGATTAGAAGTAGAAAAATGCCTTAGACCTCCACCACCCTTATTGTTTTTTGATTAGTCCATATTTATTTATATTTTTTTTGTTGTCTTCCACTGACTGCCCCCCACGTAGAGGTGGGGTGCTAGGGGTGACCACGTGGAGGTGGGCGTGCTGGGGGTCACCCCCACTGGGGTCCCCAGCACTGTTGTTTAGGCTTCTCACGTGGTTTAAAAAACTACTTTATTAAATAAAAACACGTTTACAAAACTAATGCTAAAAAAAGTAATTTGTTTGGGATATTCACTTTTAATTATATAGTTATTTTTTAATGATTTTTTAGGATAGTTAAAGTAGACTTTATGATGAAAAATGAGTATGTCAAATAAGTAAAACTTTTTTTTTTTTTTAGTAAATTGAATTTTTTTAGTCAATAAATTAATTTTCAAATTACAATTAAATAAAGTTTAACTACAAAATTTAAGACTTACATGCAAATTGCAGAATAAGTAATGCCATACAAAAATAAACATACATGTCTCTTCAATTCTCTATAAAGATTGAACCGTGTAGTTTGAACCTCTCTATATGTGAGTCCATTGTGAGTCTCACTTCAAATATCCAATTCGTTTGTTTTTTAAGTGTGTATGTAAATCATTCGTTAAAAAACATATTAATCTAATAAATATAACTAATGATTCTAAACAAAATATATATAGGGAAGCATAATGTACATGCTTCCTTCACAAACCTATAAAATTAGCATGCCCGTGAACTACATATATTCTCATTCGCACTTATCATCAACTAGTGTGTGTGTGTCTCCATCACAATGCTTATGGGCAGATGGCTGAATTTGTGGTGAATCTTTGAATGACAATGTAGTGATTGTTGTCTTAAGCTAGTGATTACCATTATGTATAATGATATACAAATAGAAAATTTGTATATAATGACATGATAGAATTATGAACTAATCACTTTAAAACAAAAGAAGTCATTAAGATAATTTTTAATATTAAAAATATTATTGTAAATAATTTTGTATGAAAATTTTGGAAGAAAAGCATTTTCATGTTGTTCTTGAAGAAAGTAGATATTGCCCAAACCTTTTTATCATTGTGACCGCATGTTGCCTCCTTTGACAATGGTGCAAATAGTCTCAAAGAAGCGAAGTGTGACCGATCTAGGAAGTAAGATTGATTTGTGACAACTTTCGTCACCATCTTTGTAAATGGTATGGTACACTAGTTGGATGACAGGTTTTTAACCATAGTCTAATTTCAAAGACTAGACATTATGAAATATAATACTGGATGAAGGTGTGTATTAAATCTATTATGGATGTTTCTATAAGAAAGGTTATACTAGGGCGTATGATCGACGTATTGGAAGTACCATGGAAGTGAAGGTCTAGCATGAAGGATTAGAATCTGTCAGAAAAGCCAAAGATGACTTCCTAAAAACCACGTGATTATCTATATACATATGCTTACATATGTCGCAACCTTAAAATTGGATTTAGGCAAGTCATCCTTGGCTACCAAACAAGACTCTAAATCTGCATACAAGACCTCGCTTCCTCACTCACTTCATACTCCATTGCAATATACCAATGCTCAATTACAATGCACCTATATATAGGCAATGATAGCATTTATTTTCATTTTTATGTTTGGCTATCAAGAAAACTTGTGAGAATATATTCTTCCTTTTGATTTGAAAGCGACCTACCTATCCATCCTGCAATCAAATTGTTTCCATAGAGATCAAATTGTAGTGGACTTGTGAAAAATAAAGGTGGTGGGGATTGAGAAAATACATGTGCCATAGTGCATATTGATCAATCAACTTGTACTGGAATTATCTCATTCTCTATGACCATGATGTCTCCATCAATCTGTCAAGAAAAATGACATTTATATAAATTTTTCGTACATAGTTATAATAATGATAATAATAATGCGACAATAACGTTTTTATAGCAGTATTACCTATATAAAATTTTTACACAAAAATACTCATAATATTTAAGATATATTAATTCTACTACATAAGAGCTAATTTTGAACCATATATTACTTTTCTAAGCATATTTCTGTGCATGGATTATGTTCACATATATTGACTATTTTTTAAAATGAAAACTACCTTGATGAGTATTTTATATTAAAGTAATAAAAGCAAAACTTAAAATATCATTTTGTATTAATTTTCTATGTAATTTTTTTTATTTGTATATCATTAATTTTGATTTTGGTTAAAGAATCCAATAGAATGCCTATCAATTACCAATTGGAAAAAAAAACATAAAAAAAAAATAATAATAAACTTAATCTATAAGTTTCTTGCCAAAATGGGATCTGAAAAAGGCCAAGAATTTCCTGAGTCTATGAAGCCATCACGAGTTGTCCTATAATGATCTAATCCCATCATTTTGTAGATTTTTGCATATAGATTCCTGAAAGAAAATATATTATTTTGTTAATTGTAACCTTTCGGCTTGATTATATCTCTCTTAAAATGAATAGATAATTTATTCTCATATTTATACTTACTGTCTATTTATAAATAAAAAAATCAAAATCTAATGTGATTTTTTCATGGACATTCTATACACAACAACTTGCAAAATAAATGAATTGAATTCTCAAAATAAGAGTTTGTGGTGGCCAACATGCCCACCTCAAGCTTTCACTTTTTTGATTGGTCCTCAACAAGACCAATTCCCACTGCCTCTTTGACATTCTAGTAATTTAAATTGTACTTAAACCATGAATTTAAATAATAATTATAAATAAATAAAAAAAGAAGGGAAAAGAAATAAAGAAAAATTTTTATTTATATTTGATTCAAATTTCACTCACGTTTTTTTTTTCTATTCTAAAGTTTTATTCAAATTTATATTCTAAACACTATTTTAAAAGAGTTGACCTTCATCCATTGAGGAAGAAATAGAACCACACAAGAGTTATAGAGAATGTATGAATAAATTCAAGAAATGAAAGCTTTGAGGTTGAAAAACCTTATTAGATGGACTAAAAAAGTCACATCTATATATATATATATATATATATTACTTTATGGGCTCATTATTCTAGTGCTACTATCAAGTCATTCCACAAGACCATCTAAAGAACAATGTCAAAGCTGTATTTGATGGAGCATTTTCACTTTGCGAAACGTCATGTAGTTGAGATAGTCTGGTACATTCTTTAACTTATTAATTGACATATAATTTAAAATAAGACTCGATAAGTTTGTTTTTGTTCGACTTGAGGTGTTGAGTTTGGTCACATTAAATTTTAATTTTACAATTTATTAAATTTCAAGTACAAATATAACACGTGCCGTATCCATTACATAAAATACTTTTTACTCTTTATACATTCAACTTGTGTTTGAAACGCGTACTAGC